AATATTTTATATAATAGTCTTGCATTTGAATTTTGTGCAGTTCATTATAATGTGGATTATTTTCAAATTTATTTTTGAAAGGCAATCAGATGGTCGAAAAGTGCTTCGCTCTAGTATAAGAGAATTTCTTTGTAGTGAGGCCATGTTCCATCTGGGAATTCCAACAACACGAGGTGGAACTTGTGTAACTTCAGATTCTAAAGTCATTAGAGATGTGTTCTATGATGGACATCCAACGTATGAAAAATGCACTGTCATCCTTCGTATTGCTCCTACATTTTTAAGGTGATGGGGATTTTTCTTTTTGGTGCGGTATGTGTATATTAGAATCTGTCAAATATTGAAATTTTCCTTGATTCCATAATTACAAGTAAATGTATTTTGTTTACTCTTTAAAATCAGATTTGGATCCTTTGAGATCTTTAAACCTATGGATGAGTATACAGGTCGAAAGGGACCTAGTTGCGGTAGAAATGATATTCGAATTCAAATGCTTGACTATGTCATTGGGACATTTTATCCAGATATTCAGAAGGCGCATTTCCAAAACTCAGTCCTGCGAAATGCTGCTTTCTTCAGAGAGGTAAGAACTTATGAAACAAATAACTGGAGTTTAAGTTGCTTTTACCACCTTATTTACCGTACTCCTGTGCTCATTGCAAGCTGCCACTATCCAGACTAGATATGAATTATTTTTTGACTCTTTTGTATGTTTTGTTACTGCTAACTGTATACGTGTGTACACTATAATGCACATTACAAATCTGAATTAAACAAGCCAGGAAGGTTCCAAGTTTGATTTATGGTCTTGTTAGTTAGCTGATCTCAGCTGGATATCATTATGGAGATGTCTCTGCCTTTGCATTAGGAAGGGCCACATCCATCCAAGTTCTATTCCATATGCATGATATCAAGGTCAAAGGTTTCTCAATATACCAGAAAGAAGAAAAAAAAATTTGAGAAAGAAGGAACGATTGGCTCTGAATATTTTTATTTCCGAAGGTGGTCCAATAATGCAGAATTGTGCATGTCATGACAGTTGAGCACAAAATCCAAAACACTACTTTATCAATTCCAATTGTTATTTTGGTAAATGATAAGGTAGCACAGAATAAGACTTGGCAATAGCTGGTGCATTGATTAAACTCAAATTCATGCCTCCATTGCAATGAAGGTCAATTATTTTCCCTGTAGCAGCAGCATCTTTCTATCTAGACAAAACTTTAGCCCATGTAGAACTCCACAGCACATGGGCCCAATATTTCATACACATGCCTTAAGTGACCTTGATTCTTCCCTGCAAGTTATGTACTGCCAAGTCCTTTAATTTTATCCTTTATAAAGCATTTGTGGCTTCAAAACTAATTAACATAGCTTACATTTGGGATGCAGCAATGATTTAAGTTCACCATTTGTATCAATATAACATTATAGATGTGCTAATGTAAAGCAATTAATGTAAACTCAAGGTGTCCCATTGTTGGTTCTTACTTTCACCTTTCATTTTACACATGATTAGCTAATTCAATTTTAAGTGAAATAAACTACGAAACATTATTCATAGGGATTGAAAGAGAAAACAAAGGTTGTCGTGGTTTGCTTTCCCAAGATTTATATTATACTTTTGAACATAAACTGAACATAGAATTCATAGAATCAATACAGTGTGGAAACAGGCCCTTCGGCCCAACAAGTCCACACCGATCCTTGGAGCATCCCACCCAGACCAATCCCACTATAACCCACCTAAGCTACACATCCCTGAACACTATGGGCAATTTAGCATGGCCAATCCACTTAACCTGCACATCTTTGGACTGTGGGAGGAAACCGGAGTACCTGGAGGAAACCCACGCAGACATGGGGAGAATGTGCAAACTTCACACAGACGGTCACCTGGAACCCGGTTCCTGGCGCAGTGAAGCCGCAGTGCTAACCACTGAGACACCGTGCCGCCCGATTGTGTTAATTGAATTTACAGAACTTGGGTACATTTAAAAATGAATATTTATTATGCACTGGCATATCTGAAAATCAATTTTTTTTAATTCATCTAAAAGGAGCACTTGTTTTATCAAACCTACAGTTAACCAAGAGGACAGCCAGGCTTGTTGCTGAGTGGCAGTGTGTTGGATTTTGTCATGGTGTACTAAATACAGACAATATGAGCATTGTAGGGCTCACCATTGACTATGGACCATTTGGCTTCATGGACAGGTATGAGGATTTTGAATGTAACACGTCATTTATAATTTTACAGAGTAAAATTTTGTTTTGAATGAAGTTACCGAATACATCCTGGATAGTGTCAACAGTGTTGTTAATGGTTCTGTGTTGCATGACATGTCATGTTGGGGTGGTGGGGTGGCATAGTAGTTCCGTGATTGGCACTGCTGCCTCAAAGTACCAAGGTCCCAGGTTCAGTTACAGCCTTGGGCAACTGTCTGTGTGGAGTTTGCACATTATTCCTGTGACTGTGTGGGTTTCCTCTGGGTGCTCCAGTTCCCTCCCACAATCCACATCATTTGGACCAATGCATTTGTGATGATCGATTTTGTTTTTTGCTGAATTTGTGTAGACAATCATACCAATTCTCGGTAAATATAGTGGAACAGCAAAGACTGAAAACATGAAGAATTGGATAGCTGGCTGGAAGTTTAATTCCCTACTGTTTTGTAGTCTGTCTTGTAGTACTGAACGCCCTGTTTATTTAGTACCCATATTTCTTGGTTATGGACCTGGAGCACAATGTCTCCCACAACTCCGCACAGCTTCAGAGGAAGAAGTTTGCTATTGGAGCTGTTGTTGGTTTGAAAACATGGTTGAACTGCTAATTTAATATTTTACTTTGGTCTTTACACCAAAACATGAGGATACTAAAGCAAAGGGAGAGGGTAGATGAAATGACTATTACAGGAGGAAACTAAAATTGAGGGAGTTGAAATCTGATAGATCTCCTATTGCTATTCAGTTCTTTAATTTGTCAGGTTTCTGCCATCCAAAGATATTGCAAATGTGATCTTTAACAGAACCCTTGTGCACTGACTTGAGAAAGAACTCCTGCAATGATTCAACTGGTTGATATGATTTAAGTAATTTAGCTCTGATGAAAGCTTAGTTAAGTTTGGGTTAGTATTCCATTGCAGGAATAGGAAATTGATGCATTCAATCTGTTCTTTTTCTCCATGTGCACCACATAACCTAATACAAATTATCCTGTTCACTCCCTGCAATATTTAATACTTTGTCTTAATGGTACTTACCTAATGTTCACCAGTGAAATGTGGCCGTGTTGCACATTATAATCGCACTCTTTTTGTGATCATGTAAAATTTTTACTCATTTATTACCATTTTGCTATCATTAATTACATTATACTTAATATACCATTGGAGACTTTTATCAGATTATCTACTGACCCTCTTGGCATTTTTGAGAAACGACAACATTTAAGGTTTGTGTTCTTAACTTGCTGCTTAGTTGGAGTAGCTGAACACAAATTCTGATAAGCATGGGTTCCCTAATTTGGAACTAAGTTGATGTGTTCATTTAATGAAGGAGGTAGGTGATAATTTTGAAAATATTGTATATTCTAGATACATCTTAAATGTTGTGCCGTTGTATAGGACTTTGGTTCGACCACATTTGGAATACTGCGTACGGTTCTGGTTGCCACATTACCAAAAGGATGTGGATGCTTTGGAGAGGGTGCGGAGGTGGTTCACCAGGATGTTGCCTGGTATGGAGGGCGCTAGCTATGAAGAGAGGTTGAGTAGATTCAGATTATTTACATTAGAAAGACGGAGGTTGAGGGGGGGACCTGATTGAGGTCTGCAAAATCATGAGGTATAGACAGGGTGGATAGCAAGAAGCATTTTCCCAGAGTGGGGGACTCAGTTACTAGGGGTCACGATTTCAAGGTGAGACGGGGAAAAGTTTAAGGGAAATATGCGTGGAAAGCTCTTTACGCAGAGGGTGGTGGGTGTCTGGAATGCGTTGCCAGCGGAGGTGGTAGAGGCGGGCACAATAGTGTCATTTAAGATGGATCTAGACAGATACATGAATGGGCAGGGAGCAGAGGGATACAGCTCCTTGGAAAATAGGCGACAGGTTTAGACAGAGGATCTGGATCCGCGCAGGCTTGGAGGGCCGAAGAGCCTGTTCCTGTGATGTAATTTTCTTTGTTCTTGCGTAAATATCAACCCCAAGATTGTTAGCTTAAAATCTGTAATTTTTCATCTATCTTGTGTAAAAGTTGATCCTAATTTTTCAGTAATCAGAACCCAAAAATTTCAGAACAAATGATTGAAATTTCATTGTAGATGTATTATACAAATGAAAGTGAATACAAAAAGGGACTACATTTGGTTGTCCAATATTAATGCTGCTCAACTAATGAACAAATTCATTAAGTTAATATGGTCTCCTATAACCTAATCTGTATTTTGAATTGCATTACATTGTATTAAATAAAAATGCTTTCTGTTACATTTAATTACTATTCACTGTAATACATTTTTTGTATCAACAGTTTTCTGTCTGGATTTTCTGTACTTTTTCTAAAGTGGATAGGCATTTATGCATATATTTGAAACTTTTTATACATGAAGCGTTATTACTTTCCAATGTACAAATTACCTTGGTATGATAATAGTTTAATTTAGTGAAGTATTGCACTGCAAATAACATAAAATGCTCCAACATTTCTTGTGTAACGACCCATTTCTCCCTCCAACAATTAAAGGTTTGATCCGGATTATATATGTAATGGTTCTGATAATAGAGGCCGTTATGCATACAACCGTCAACCTGAAATCTGTAAATGGAATTTGAGTAAACTGGCTGAAGCTTTGGTTCCTGAGCTGCCCCTGGAGGACAGTCAGTCTATCATAGAAGAGGAATATAACAAAGAGTTCGAGCAACACTATCTGCAAAAAATGAGAAAGAAATTGGGACTTCTGCGATGTGAGAAGGCAGAGGATAAAGAGTTAGTTTCTGAGCTGTTGCATGTTTTCCAGATAACGGGTTAGTACGAAAGTTGGAAACATTCTTTGGTCACCTTAAGAATTAACTATGCTTTCAATCTTGCTATAATCATCAAATTTTGAAAGCATTACTGCTAAGACTATATCAAAATTATTGATTGTAAACAAAAAAAAACCCTGCACTCAATAGTTACTCAGTTTTTTTCAGTCTAAATAATTCTTAATCCAGTTTACTGTCCTTCTGTAATTTCAAAGCCATTATTGCAAACCCATCATTCCTTCTTTAATAATCTCCTATCTGCTGCCTTGAAGGAGAACTGCAGAAAAGTACAGAAAAGAGGCTTGAAGTAATTCAAAATGGAGAGAGAGTAATGAAACAGATTGATTGGCATTCATTCATAAGAGTCAGAAATTTCATGAATTGTTTGTGCTGTTGAGAATTCCTCCTCAATCCCCAATGCCAACATACAAGATAAGATACAAATTGTATAGTCTCCTAATTGTAACAAGGTTAAAGTAATAATGGGATTATTTTCATGTTTATTGTGTACGTGCACAGAGAATGAGAATTAAATGAATTAGAACTGCACATTAAACAATTTAATTTCTTTCTGTTCAGGAGCTGATTTTACAAACACTTTCCGTTTGTTGAGTGAGTTTCCAGTTCCTGGCATTTCCACCCATTTTACACTGGAAGAATTTCTTGAAAAGCAGATTGCACAATGTGCATCACTGGAAGAGCTAAAACTGGCTTCCAAACCAAGAATGGATCCACGGTAGGAATGTTTTATGCATTTATGTTTCAAAACCTAGACTATGAAATGAGTTTGAGATTTATAGAAAGTTTATTTGTAAAATCCTAAGTTTAAACACTATTGCTGTGTTAATCATAAGTAATTTGCAGATTAAAGATATTTTGTAATGTGCCCCAACAAAAGTGAGTTTCGATAATAGTGCCGTTGGCAAATTTGGGACTTTCTCCAATATTTTACCGCAGTTAATGAAGATATCTTTCATAAGATAAAACAAATTGTCATGTTTCCCCTTTGTTGGCCCTCCCGACTCATTGCTTTCCCAAGACATTCTGCTCGCTACCACTTCCCCACACTCCTGCTGGGTAAGATGTGAGTGATGCAAGTGAGTGGATAAGTGAGTTGAGAAGTCATTGGGTTGTGGGAATAGTTGTATCAGATTGGGAGGGGTAGTCTGATTTGGGTAGTAGTCTGATCTGGTTGGCCCCATTCGGGCAGTGGGAATATTCGGGAGTCTGGTGGGTTGGTGAGGGGAGGTGGTGCTGAATCAGTGTGATTAATTTGTTGGGAGTGGTTATTAGTTCTATAGTTACCCAAGGGTTGGTCTAATCTGTCTGATGTTTCCTAGTACCTATCTGTGTGTGTAATTTGGAACCATACAAAAACTCCAAGGTTAACTCCAACTTGGGTACTTTTATAGAGAATTCCAGGGAGCAAGGGAATTACCCATTGTATGTTGAAACTTCCCAGACAATTCCCATTTGAGTCAGGACATCTGCAGAATCCCAGCACACATCTTTAGTTATATGTACAATCTCCAACAATCTGGAGACTAATAACATTGGTCCAGTGTTTCTTTTGACAGTGGTTTTGTTTAACACGTTTTCATTTAACTGCTTTTTTTTTAGGAATAATACGTTGAAGGATCACTATTTTTATTGCCATTTGTCAAATATGACCAAAGTAATAAAAGCTATTTCATGCAAATGACTTTACTTGATCTAATAAGTAAGTTGCAGAATAGTAGTGATAGGTGACAATAAATTGCAACACTGACATATTCTCAATACCTTTTTTACACATTGGAGTACAGGGTCAAAGTGGGGCATCAACTGTCTGTCAGTTTTCTACCTGCAGTGACCTGCTGATGTCTGTCCACAATTACACAAATCTCTGTTTTACAATATTTTTTGACTATTGTGGCATTCTAAAAAAGTTATGAATTTTAAGAATGGTTCTATGTACTATAAATATGAAGTTTTTTTAGTCTAGGTGAATGAATATGGTATTTGGTACTATTAATTTGGTTTTCTTTATTGAAGGAATAATGTGATTATCATTTCTCAATGTCTGTTTGAGTAGCCACTTTCCTTGCCATGTGGGTGGAGACTTTATGCATGTAAAAATAAGAAATAGTATGTGAGTAACATACAGAGTTTGTATTTTGTCATGTTACCCTCCACCAGAAGCTGTTTACCCACATAAAGTACCCCTTTGGAGATGGCAAAGTATAAACTAATTCAGTTATGGAGAGAGATTTTTGAGTTAATTTTTACATATGTAGATGAATTTTTGCAATTTGCCATATATAAATAGTATGTTAATTCCTAATGTATTTATTGTTTTGATTTGTTTGTGCCCAGCTAAGTGAAGACTGTTGCAGTTTTGTTTATGTTGAAAATAATTGTGGTATGCTGCACTGCAGTCACTCCACTGTGACGTGTCTTGTAGGTCTTTATTAGTTATGAACTAGACATTGTTTATTCAGATTCTGACATTACACTCTGGTGATCCTATACAGGCAGCTGTCCATGTTGCTGGCACTGTCCCAGACCAATTCACAGCTCTTTGATCTGCTTGGCAACAAAGATGAAATTACTAGAGAATTGAATCGCATAGAATTATTCTCTGAGTTGGAAGAGATGACAAATGAAGAACTACTAAGCAAACAGCGGAAGGCATGGACAGACTGGCTACAAAAGTACAGGTTAGAAGCTGCAATGTGTAGAAAATAAATTGCTAAATTCAAGTTGAGAATAACATTTATGGATTTCTCCCAACACTTGGTCGAAGATGCTACCTAGAATAGCACAAAGCCACACAACAGAATAGTGATTTCTGCTTTTACATGTGTTTGAAGGAATGATGTAGAATTCTGCTGTAGGTCTCAAGTGACTTGGGATGGAAATTAACTTGGTTGCCTGCTTGTTTCTTATTGAGACATCCCGGTGATAAATTGTTCATACATTGATTAAGAATGTGGAATTCACTGCCACAGAAGGCTGTGGAGGCCAAGTCATTGAGTACATTTGAGACTGAGATAGATAGGTTCTTGATTACCAAGAGGATCAAGGGTTACGGGGAGAAAGCAGGAGAATGGGGTTGAGGAACCTATCAGCCATGATTGAATGGAGGAGCAGACTCGGTGGGCCAAATGGCCTAATTTCTGCTCCTATGTCTTATGGTCTTAACGTGATGGAATCATCAGATTCCCTGCTGTTACTCATTAGAGACTAGAGAAGGACCAGTTCGGAAAAGTGCCCAGATCACTTAGCATCCACAGAACTTAACTCCAGATCAAGTCAGCACTGAGAAGAAAGAGAAAAATCAATTTTAAAAATAAAAATTAAAGAGACTTGTGTGTATTCCTGTTAATGTATGTTTTGTAAATTCTGTGTGTTGGTGATCTTTTATGGGTAAATTGTAATTTGTGTCTCATGTATTTATGGTTTGTGTGGTACAGACTGTACAAACAATAGTACAGTTTGCTTAATGTTTACAAGCTCAAAAGATGACATGGAAACATTGTAAGCTTTTCATTTTGCAACAGAAATTTAAGTTCCCAAAAACTGTTTTTTATATTTCTCTTAAATTCCTCCTGTTTGTATAATGTTTGAGCATTGCTATGAAATATTATTTCCATATTAACACTCTTGTGCAGGTGACAGAAGGTCATCTTTCTGCCCTATTTGAAAGGTCAAAATGCTGAGTTTGTATTTGAAGAATATTCTGCTTTGGTCTCTGTGTGATAGTATGTTTGAAAAGACGTCACGTATTTGTTTGTTTGGTTGTTTGTTTCCTTTCAGGTCTCGTTTGGAGAATGAAGCAAAAGATGTTGATGATACTGCTGATCTAAATACTGAACGTGTGAAGGTGATGAATTCAAACAACCCAAAATTTATTCTGAGAAATTACATTGCACAGAATGCAATCACTGCTGCAGAGAATGGAGACTTCTCAGAGGTGAGTAAATTTGTGTGTGTGTGTGTTGGAGGGGATGGCGGGGGGAAGTAGCAGTGAGAAAGGTCCTTGCGAATGAATGGCTGAAGAAGAATCACATTCTTATATTAAATTTCTAAAGTCTTCATTTTAATTAAGGCCCTTTTTCATGAAACACTTAAAATAACTTGCAAAAAGCCATTCAGCACTAAATTCATCTTTGCACCAATAAAATCATTCATGAATGTTCTGAAACATTGATTTTTGGCGTATTTAAATTGTTGCTTTTTCATCTCTTGCTTACAGGACCAATAAGGATCAATTGACCTGCCCAAAGGTCATAGACTCCCTGTTCCTCCTTATCCTTTATAAGATTCAATACTTTATTTGCTATGTTACAACAATGATTATACTGCAAAGATATTTCATTGGCTGTAAAGCACACTGAGATATCCTGAACTCTAAAGCATAAGTCTTTCTTGAAATTCTATTTGTGAAAAATAATCATGTTCCCTTCTTGAAATTTGAAGGATCCTGTCTTGGTAGGTTAATCAAAGATATTCCCCTAAAGTTACATTTCACATTAACTGATTACTCAAATGTTAACACAGTTCAGAAAAAAAATGTTTAGGGTGAGCGTATCTATTCTCTTCAGATCTTAAATAGTTCAATATAATCATGTCCTAAGTTGCTTTTTTTTTCCAGTTGCAATTGTATTTATGTATCTTTTGTCCTTCCTTAGCTCAGGTCACTAATCCTTTCATTTGCATTGTCGCTAAGGCCAACATAGACATAGAAAATATGAACATGAGTAGGCCAGTAAGTCCTTCAACTCAGTATCCTCTACCTGTTTTCACCCCATACCCTTTAATTCCTTTAGCCCTAGGAACTATGTCTTATCTCCTCCTCGAAAACACTCAATATTTTGGCCTCAACGGCTTTCTGCGGCAGAGAATTCCACAGCCTCACCACTCTCTGGGTAAAGAAATTTTGTCTCATCTCAGTCCAAAAATAACCTGTTGTGTATCGTTAGACTGTGACCCCTGGTTCTGGACTCCCTGGTTATCAGGAGCATCTTTGTTGCGCTAATCCTGTCTGGTCCTGATAAAATTTTGAGGCCTTCTATGAGATTAACCTGCTTATTCTTCTAAACTTTCCAATCAATATATTCCAAGTGTTTCAGTACTCAAATCTGTCCAAAATACTCAAGATATGGATCAGTCAGTGTTTTACACAAACCAATTTATCCTTCCTGATTCCCCTTAATGCTTTATTATCTATCTATCTATCTATCTATCTATCTATATAGTTCCCTTCCTGAGATTCTACAAAGATGCCAAAATCCAAGCTATGAGCAGGTAACCTGCTTCTCTCAAATGCTAACTCTACAATTTTTTGCCACTTTTTTAAGTTGTAGTGGAACTCTGAACTCAATTAAAGCTGATTTTTTTTTTTAGTAATATAATTGGGTATTTTTTACCCCAGAATGTGCATTTCTTGCAACCAGCAATGGTGCCAATTTAAACCTCCCAAATTTACATTGGTCTTTGATTGCATGCCACATGTGTGTTCAGGAACTGATTCCATTAACTGTATACTAGTCATATTTCCTACTTGATGTACATTTAATTTTCTGACTAAGTCAATCGCTAAGAATCCTGATCAGATGTGTTGAGATTCCATGAAATTTTCAAGAAAATATTCTTTAAAATTAGAGATTGCATTTTGGGTAGATAAGTTCTCATGCTAGTGGAAGAAGAATTAGAATATTTGCCACTGAAAAATATTGTGTCCTGTCTTCTCTGCAACCATGTCCTCATTTGAAAGAACATGTGAAGTGTGAGCAAGAGGCTCCTCAAACCTGTGTTGACATCTAGTAAGACCCTGACTGATCAGATTGTGGGCTTAGTTTCACTCTCTTTCCCTGTCTCACCATAAATTGAGGCTTTTTTTTAAATCAAAAATTTGAGTCCTGTTTGTAGATTACAGGGAGCAACACTTTTTCAGTTTTTGCTGTGCTAATTTTCTTAAGCTGTCACCAACAAATATTCAAACTTGCAGATTGTCTTTAGTTTTGAGTTGATTTGATTCATATGATGCCAAAAAAGTTCTTTCACTTTGCAATTTCTATAATAGCTCAGAGAAACTGTTATTTGGCTAATTCATTAAATGATGTGTTAAATGGCAGCAGTACAAAAGAAACTCTTAAATTTACTAATCAAACTCGGCGATTAGAATTATTGCTGTTTTTAAATTGCTTAATAACCTCTATTTTATTTGCTTAGGTTAGACAAGTTCTAAAGCTCTTGGAGCATCCATACAATGAAGAACCCTGTGTGGATGACATAGTTCAAGAAGCACCAGTAGAGGCTGCAACAACAAGTGGTGATTCATTAAGTAATGACAGAATGCCTTACCACAGTAAACCACCTGACTGGGCAAGGAAACTTTTAGTTACCTGATCTTCGTAAACACCTTGTTTTGGTTTCTGGTTAAAAGAAGCCAAACCAAGGTAAAAATTTGAGTGCTACTATTTCCTCACAACAGATGTGTTATGGAGATCTCTCATTGCGAAGAGCAGCACCAGGTATTCTGAATTCTGCACACCCCATTGTGATTTGATGAAATTATGAATTAAGATTATGAAACAATAGCTGAAATGATGCAAAAAGAGAAAATGTGCAAATAAGTTAGTATAATAACAACAAATGCTTGCCTGATTGCTATCTTTATACTTTAAAACATTGTTAAAGAGAGATGTTAGGGCTTGATACTGATTATTGTGGAATTATCTTTGCTAACAGATAAAATAATGGAAAGGTGATATACTACTAAATGTGATATACTACTTCCCTAACAAACTTAAACAATATGCTTAGAAGTGGCTATGCTAATACAGATTGACTGGCTTTATATCCCCTTTTTGTTTATTAAAAAAGGGTTACTTTAATGAAAATAACAGATCATTTCTTAGATGTGCACTTTGTTTTGGCACAGCTGGCAGAAAGCAGACCAGCAATTTTGCTGTACTTGATTCAGTCTTTAAGAATGAAGATAGCTGACATATATGCCTGTATGAATAGGTGTGGCCTTTTTAAGTATGAAAACAGTCAGACAATCACAAGTGGTTGACAATGTATTTGTAAACAAGTGCAGTTTAGTAGTGCTGCTGGTGTAAATGACATTTAATCCATTCAAGTGTACATCAAAAGATTTAACTTGCCAGAGATGAACTAACAAAGGCAACTTATTCATGAGAAGGCTGCTTTACTTACTGGACCTGTGCTAGTAGTTTCTTAGAAGTTAATTCTTAATTTAAAATAATTAAACAATGTTAAAATGGAATTATTGAAACAATGCTGTAATGGGGTTTGATTACCAGATATTGGTGCTGCTCTGTGAAGTTTGAAATGTAAGATCTCCAGATAAAATCTGTTAAAATGAATACAAAAATATCAACTCCAGCATATTGAGCTATTTTTGTATGATGTGGAAACTGTTGCACGAAATGTTAACGCACAGTTTAAGCTTTTATCGTTTGAATAATCATTTGCACTACACTTTCTTGAGGAATAATTTTGTACATCCATTGTTTTGAACCAGTTTCTTACTAGTAAAAGATTGAATGAAAATCTGATGGATTTTAAAATGTATATAAATTGGCAATGTGTTCTGTTTCTTGCAATGCAACAATAAATAATTATTAAGATGAATGGTAAAACGAGGAGATGATTGTAATATGCATGTGTGCATCCACACACAATCACCTTTTTTACATATTCTGAACTGCTCTCCACCCCTCCAACAAAGTACATTGGAAATGTAATCACTGTTGTTACATAAGAAAAAGCTTCAGCCAACCTGTGTTTTCATGGTATTCTTTGAGAGGTAAATGTTTGTTTGTATTGTGTACTTCTGCATACACCCACAAAGCAGAGGGGCTATACAGCATCTCTAACAGTGCAATATTCTCCCCATATTATATTGAACTATATGATACTATCTGGGGCTTTGGAGTTGAGCTTAGATGACACAATGTCAGATCTAATTGCTAGCCATAGCCTGACACCTGCCGCAAGACAGAAGTACACCAGTTATGATTAAGTTGATGTCGAGGGCAATATACAATCAGCCCTTTAAGCCTGCTCTGCCATTCAATAAGATCATGGTCAATCTGAGTGTAACCTTAAATCTACATTCCTGCCTAACCCTGATAACCTTTCACTCTTTACATAACAAGTATGTGTCTACTTCTCCCTTTAAAGTATCCATGTGCTCATCTTCCGTCACCTTTTCAGGAAAAGCATTGCAAAAACCTTCAGAGAGGGGAGCAAAAAGCTTGCCTTCTATAGTGGTGACCCCTGATTTTAACCAAGTGATCCCCAGTTCTAAATTCTCCCCTGAAAGGCAATGCCTTCTCCATATCTATCCTGCCAAGACTCCTCAGGATCTTCTTGTTGCTGGGGTGCAGTCACATATAGATAGAGAATAGGGAACCAAGGATAGTTCCTTGGAGGACTCCATATGTAATGGTAGGGAAAGAAAAGCCAGTGCAGGGCATCCTTTAGCTATGACTGGATAGAAAAAAATGGAACCAGGTCAGTGCAGACCTATGCACCTGGGCAACAGAAGAGAGACATTGGAGTACATTTGAGTTTGTCAAAGGTTGTGGACAGATTAAGAAGGGATACTTTACGATGGCCACATTAGCTGAAATTTTGTGCTTTTTGCTAGTAGCCTTTTCACTGCTCTAGTTGGGATGAATACCTGCTGAGACAAGTTCAAAACAGAGTTGTGGGAAAGATGTGCAGAATAGAGAGGCAAGAATATTTTTCAAGGTGTTCTGATGAAAAGCCATCAACCTGAAACATTAACTCAGTTTTTCTCTGAACAGAGGTTGCCAAACTTGCATATGTTCAACTATTTCTGCTTCTAATTCCAGCATCTGCAATATTTTGCTTTTGTAATATTCCCAAGGTTGGAGATATTTTGTTGGTGGTATTTTGCAATGACTATTATGGGTTAGAGGGAGGGCAGTGCTGGTAGCATGATGAGGGGAGGGACCCTGATCTGTGAAGAAGGTGTTGACCATCATCTGCTAACGTTTGGGTCATGAAGGGAAGAAGGATGGTCAACAGGAGCTGGATCCCATTGACAAGTTGTGCTCCAAGACACCAGGAGGAGAGAAATAAAAGAACAATACAAGTTCTGCATTCAAATCATTACATTTTTTTAAAAATGGAAAATGTTACATTTTAGATTGGTCCGTGATCAGTTCAACTTTAAGTGCTGGACTGTGATACAGTAAATGAGATCATGTTCAAAATTCACTCACTCTACATATTTGAGTTTATGAATTACAGTTCCCGTACTTTGCATGTACATGCACATGCACATTTTCTGGACTGTTAATCCAGATACACAGGTAATGTTCTGGGGAGTGGGGTTCAAATCCTGCCACAGCTGATGGTGGAATTTGAATACAATAAAAACAATCTAGTCTAACGATGACCATGAATCTATTTTTGATCATCAGAAAAAACTATCGGGTTCACTAACGTCCTTCAGGGAAGGAAACTGCCATCCTTACCTGGTCTGGCCTGTATGTGACTCCAGGCCCACAGCAATGTGGTCGATTCTTAACTGCCCTCTGGGCAATTAGTCGGGGGCAATAAATGCTGCCTAGCTAGCGACACCTTCATCCTGCGAATAAAAATAATACACCGCAGTAAGCAAAGCATAGAGTCAATGATTGAAAGTGTTAATTTAGGACTATTTAGCTAAAACTTTAACAGTCTAAAAATATTTTGACAGGGATATGAAATTGGAAGGTATGATAATTTCTGAGAACCTGCGTAATATTGCTTGCTGCAGTGCATGTACATGATGTAAGGCATTCTATGTTCTGGAAAAGGCCAAACCATCTTTGTACATGACTAATAAAATGTGGCTGGCACAACATGAAGCATGTTACAAACATTAACACAATTGAGGATCTATGTCAGGAATAAAGCTGAGCAGTATCATTGGTCCTTTCCCGTTGAGTGCTCCACCATTCAGTGCAGTAGGTAGAACTCATGATTTGATTGATGTCCCTCTGCTGCCCTCAGTTGGTTTAAAATCACCATGTTCCTTTCAGTGAGACTGTGAAGGCTGGTAATAGATGTACCGAGGACGACTGTATCAGTTTCTGGCTTAATTATGATTAACGAGACACTTGTATTTTCCTGCAGTGGGTAGAAGCTTCGATCATTCTTCTGCAAGTGCTAATTTCTACAGACTGGAGTCTCCCAATCGTGTGAACCTTGGAGATGATACAAAACAAACAAATTATCTTCAGGTTTAAGCTTTCTCTTCAAGCCAAGCGTGAGTGAAAAATTTATGACTATGTCCTCGGGAGCCTGAGACAACTCTGAATCAAGGATCTATTCTGTGAATTATTAGAGCTGGTAATGCTTCAATTTATTTTATTTGGTCAGTGAGTTGAGCTCATGTTCTCAGTCTTATCTTCCACTCCAATTTAATTGTATGGATTTTAATGGAAGGTCAAGTAAACATCAAGTTATTATAATGTTCATCATTGTTTTCAATGCAGAAAACAAACCTTGCCTGTTTTTCATGGCTATAGTAAGGACCTTCGTGCAGTTGAGATTAAATGTTCAATAAGTAATTTCTCTATCACTTTTTGTATAAAGTGAGAATGAGAAAAGTCTCTTGTGTTATATTACTTTGAGAGGGAAAATGCTCATGACCAAATCGCCAGGATGTAGGAGCAGTGACTAGCAGCCATTGCACAGTCTATTTTACAGCATGTACCTGCAACTATATTTTCCAGAATAATAGTTGATGTATCTTTACAGTGAATCTACTGAGCAATCTTGTAATATTCTTCAAATAGTCCTACTATCTCTAAATCAATGTTCTGTTCTACTTGTTTTTGTGTAAGTTTGTGTTAAAAAAATAGAACTGCAACAACTTGATTGAAACGTAGCTTTTGTAAGATTATAGACAGAGACAGTAGACCTTCCAAGTGAATTTTAAACATGAAATCAAATAATTAGGGTTTATCAAAGGTCAAATTAACATATAGGTAACCCACACAAGCACCACATAAGATGTTGCTGGGAAGAATGAACCTAATAGCAAGTTGAGCCTAGTCCCTATCTTTCTTTTGCTTCCTCTGTTTGATTTCATCCAAATTCTGGTTAAAATCTCAACCCATTAGCTGTACCAATCCACAAGCGTACGCATTCCATAATCTCTGGATACAAACGTGTACCAGTTGCTAACAAGTTATCTAAGACCACACCAAAGACTTATTTTCTAATATCTATTGTCTCAAAACTAACAGTCTGGTGTTTAAGATTTGGAAGGCCTAAAAAGTATTATGATGTCTGGCAGCATCTGTGAAGAGAAATGTTAATGTTTCAGGTCCAGTGACCCTTCCTCAGACCTGTTGAGCTTTACCAGCAACTTCTGTTTTTTCTTCTAATTTACAGTTTTTTCGGTCTTTAGAAGTATTATTATGGTTGATTATGGATAAATTAAAGTCTAAAGTAAACATTGTGTGGCCCCACCTGGAAAACAAGTTCGTCTGATCTCAGTTGAAAAAGACACTACCCCATTTGTGGCTTTGTAATTCTAAGTTTTTAATTATAGAGCTAATATAGAATGGAACCAAGTTTAAATGGATTATTTTGGTACCAGTGGTGTTGCTGAAAATCTTTTGATCTTTATCTCTAACATTGGATAGTTTCCAATTTGTTGGATTACAATAACTGATGTAAAATTAGATTTGATTTTCTTGAAATAAGTGAGCATCTTAAATAGTAACAATTCTATATTGGTAGGTTTCAATGCTTTATGTTTGGGTGAATAGGTGAAATTCCTGAAAAGCATTGGTACCCTGTTAATATAACTAATCCCATTTCTATGAAGAAACTTGGTCAGTTGGAGTACATACTGAGTTGCATGCAAGTTCTCCAAAAAATAGATCATTGTCAAAGAAATATGGGTAAAGCTTCCTGAACCTCAAATCCAGAGAGAGTTGCAGTCAATTGAAAAATGTAGATAGTGCTGCTAAAATTTTTTTTTTGTACTAGTCAGAAATTCTCTACAAGCCCGACATTTTTTAAACTTCTCTGGCAGCTCATTTATATGGTCATGGCAACTTTGTGTAGAACTTGATGATCTCATGGGGCTCTTAGATTCATTCATCCTCGTTCAAAATGTCCATTTCTGGTATTGAGTATAAGAAGAACATTAACGTCTTTAATTGATACTGTAGCTACAAGAGTGATTAAAGAGCAGTCAACATAAGGGTAGATCTTGTTTCACAAATAGGCTGCAATTTTAGAGAGTGTAATTTAGTTGGTTCTTATGGTGTGGTGATAGTGCCCCTACCTCTGGACCAAGAGTCCTGGTTCAAGTCCCATCTGCTTCAGAGGTGTGTCACAATGTGCCTGAACAGGTTGAGTAAAAATATCTATAATTGAGTTGGTTAACCAGTTGTTCTAATTTAGTAGATTTTAACAATTTTCTTGAAAAGAGAATTACAAAAGCAGAAAGGAATGGGTTTGGACTTTTTGAAATTAGTAGCTGACTAAATGAATCAATGATGTAGAGAGTAGTTAAAAAAAGGAGTGACGCATAGTCCAAGAATTGACTTGGGGGAAATTAGTTTTACTGAAGTTTATTTTGGAATTTTACCCCGACAACTTTTAAACTGTCATCATAGCAAAACAACTGGCAACACGCTTTCTTTTTTATTAAGAAATTCTTCCCTCTTTGTATGTTACTCAAGGCTAGCTTCTCATTCTGTTTAAATACCTATAAGTGTGCAAAGGTCATGCAGTAAAGACATAGTTTTAGAATATCACAACCACCTGAGAGAATATAAAAAAAACTCACTTTAAAAGTTCAGCCAAAGCTCTGACATTCTTTCAGCACTGCACTGAGATTTAAAGGTCCTATCTTCAGAATAGGACTTGAACGTAAAATCTTCTGTTTCAGAGAACATAATGCTACCATTGAGTTAAATCTCTACCTTGGAACAGACATAATGTTCTCTGCAACAAAGCAACCAAATTGCCTTTAAAGAGTCAGTTTCCCATTACCAAAGTACTTTTGGACATAGCAGTGTAGAAGTTACATTTAACCTTGTTGAGACAGACCTCCACTGATCTAGGAAAGTAAGGAAGTTAATTCAGTTGGTCCTGTCCAAAGAAGGAAATAAATCTTTACATTTTGGGGATGCATTGTGTTTTACAAAAAGAAAACACCATGAATCTTGTTTCTTTAATACCATTTTGTATGATTGTATGCTTCTGTTCAGAAATGGTGCCCATTGTTTTGAACTAACAAAGCGTTTTTGAAATGGTACTTGAATACTTTGCTCTATCTGACAACTAACTGTATTTTCTTATTGTGCATCAACAAAGAACAATGCATCCATTGATGCAGCCAGAAGCCATCTTCCTAAATATTGCAATATTCCTGAGTCCTTATTTCCAACCAGTTTACTCCATGGTAAGAATTCCAAGCTTTCAGTCACTTTATTGTACTCATTCACGTTAAGTATTATTCCTTTTTAGGTAAATAAATAATCTATTTAAATAAAATCAAACTGATAACAGTTACAACAGACATTAATTTGTTGGTAGATCAATGTTTTTTTTTTAAAAAGCAAATCATTTGATAAAATCTGCAAGAAAATTGCAGGGTTGATGAAATTATGGATTAGAATTACCAAATATTGCAGGTAGTCAATTTAGATTTAATAAATATTACAGATTAAGATTAATTTTATAGTTGCATTGTAATGGCAATAAGATTTCACCTTTCCTTTTGTACTAACCTGATCTTAAAAACTTTGCAGTGGTAGGTCAATAATTGGAATTGGCTTCTTGTTTGTATTAACCCAAGCACTGCGGGATGGGGTGGGATATCAGGAAAATGCAAACCAATGTCCCAAGATTATTTAGAGGGCTGCGGAGAGGGTTTGGAGAAAGGGACTAGCAAAGTAGCTCTTTCGGGAGCTGGTGCTGACACAGTGGATCAAATGACCTCCTGTACTGTAAAATTCTGATTCTATAAGAAAACATCTATTACAGATAGCACACTCAATGTTTGATAGCTATTGAACTGAATATGCAGCTGCATGAAATAGACGTGTGGATAAATTTCTCTGTTTGGTATTCTGTAACACATTTCTCATAAAGCAGGTATTCTGTTCTAGGTGTTAAAGCTCTGTAACTTACATCGTACTGATACATATCAAGCTGAGGTAGTAGTCTATAATCTTAGAAGCATTCCAATCTGCTGTTGATTACTCCAGCACATCATCTTCCAATTTGTAGGATCTGAATTATGAAATTAATTTTCTTCAGAAACAAATTTGTCTTGAGCAAACTAAAATGGCTCTCAAAATGTGTTTCTATATTGATTTGTGTCAATTTTAGAAATACAAAAGAAGTGCATTAATAAAGAAATAAGTACCAAGAAAGGCTCCATAAACAATATAAGATTATGTACACATATAACATCTAATCTGCATTGAAAGCTTCCTTACCCATAGAACATTCCCAGTTTACATTTCAGAAGACACAGAAGCAACAAGAAGATAACCTCAGTCAAAGTTTGCAAAATTCTCCTGGGTGTACACTTAAATATGATTCATGAAACCTTTGCCAACATAAAGTGAAATAAATGCAGACCCTTTGTATGCATAAGACTACAGTCTATTGGACAGTCAACCAGTGGGAAGGATGTGAATGTCTCCATTCAGCAGTTTCCTATGTGTCAATGTAATCCTCAGGTTAAACCACAACCAGTTGGATGTCTCTCTCTCTAATGAGAGAGCAGCCCTATGGTCCAGTAGGACAATGACAACTTTACCTTTACCTTGGATACAATGATCAGGTCCCGGCCTAGTGATCATACTAAAAGCGTAAAAGAAACAAAAAGATGATCAGAAAAGCTTATTATCTTTTAAATCTTGAACTAACAATGATGAGCAGCAACTAGATTGTTTCACAAAGTCTAATGATTAAACTTGTAGTCCTATTTAATGAACTGCAATGAAAATCCAGCTCTTAAATTTCACAGACACAGCCACTGCATACCAATGAACATATAGCTACAGCATTAGAGTGCTGTATGAGCAAGTGATGCCCAACTGCAGCTAGCTGGGTAAAGAGCAGCCAACATTCTCTTTTCCTGACCAGCTCCACAGGGCTTACTTGATCTGAAGTGCTGGAGGAAAACCACTAGGTAATCTAATAAGAAGCTCTTCAACAAGATGTAGTTTACTGCAAGATAGCAGTCAGGTACAGATTGGGACTTTTTAAAATTGGAATGTAGGAGGTTGAGAAGCAACCGTATGGAAGTTTATAAAATAATGAGAGGTATAGATAAAGTTAATGGTAGGTGTCTTTTCCCTAGGATGGGGGATTTCAAGGCTAGGGGTCACACTTAGGGTGAAAGGAGAGAGATTTAAAAAAAGACATAAGGGGCAAATTTTTTTTACACAGAGGGTGGTTCGCATGTGGAATGGACTTCCTGAGGAAGTGGTTGCAGATTCAATTACAACATTTAAAAGACATTTGGGTAAGTACATGAATAGGAAATGTTTGGAGGAATATGGGCCAGGAGTAGTAGGTGGGACTAGTTTAGTTTGGGATTATGTTCGGCATGGACTGGTTGGACTGAAGGGTCTGTTTCCATGCTGCATGACTATTGGAAAACCTAAGATAACAGATCTGTCCTTTTCAATATGCTAAAGTGTTTTCTGGGTTTTCCCCACTCAAGTCTTTATGATATAATCAGATTGATTGAAGCTTAGTCCATCCTTAATCAACAGAGAGATGTAGGCAGGCTGTCTATTTACTTCAACGTCGTGAGTTAAGCAGCATCACAGTAATTGCTTGTGCTTTAGTCAGATCTGTATTTTCACACAAGGGTCATCTAAGTACCTTTCAGTTACTTTAACTGAGGTCATATTTGTGCACAGTCGGAATGCTAAGGCAGAGAAAGAGTTTCACACTGGGTAACTATGGGTTCTGAAAATGATGTGTAATTTTCAGCACCTAGAGTCCTTTTTTCTTGTGTAATCTTCCCTTACAGGCTCTCCAAGTTTTTTTTTCCTTCTCCTCGGCTTTCATTAATACCCAGGTGGTAGACTCAAAACTCTGCCCTGTATAAGCTTGCTTCAAAACTCTACATCTAATACTCTAACATTAGATGCACTAATATTCAAGTAATGAATGTAATAAAATTCCCTTCAAACCCATATTAATCAAAAGATCAATGCGTTTCACTTCAAAATTAAGACCTATTTCAACGTTTCATGGTTGAGTAATGTAAGTGTCCGATTAAATGTCTGTTACAAAGGGTGGCAACATTGCTTCTGCATGAAAATACCTAGAAAATAAACAACATCCAATCCTGGAAGTACATAACAGGTAATGTAGTAATCTGAAAAAGACAGATTAAACTTTTTAGGTCCAGACATTTTCTCTGAACTCTTGTACACATAATGATGAGCTGTTTTAGTTCAGCTAATCTGATTATGAGAAACATGCAGACTACCTAACTACTGCAATGCTAGTTATCAGTAGGATAAGCCCTTGTGCCTATATCAGACTTCTTTTTTAACCAATTTAATTTTCTTTTAGGAAAATCAAACTCTTAAAGCTTGTGACAGTGTTGAATGCAAGGTGGAAGGTATTTAAGCAAACTTTCTCATACTGCAAACTAATTCGTTTTAGAGACATTTAACGAACACACTATATAAACAAGATTTGAATCTTCCTGGCATCTGCAGGTTTTCGCATAAAGCTTTCCAGTTAAAAGCGTAAGAAACAAATCATCGTCTTGCAATCTACCTGCTCAGAATTTTTTCTAACAATATTTCTTTGTATTTATGGTTAATAAATCTATATATAAAAACAGAGAGCAAGAAACTGTTCTAACATTGTTATTGGCAAGTTCTCACTTGTTTGGACTAAGATAAAAATATATCATTGAATGTTGTATGCCATATCTCAATTGCTTTCGCTTCTTACACTTTTTAATCTCCCACTGTGTTTCTTTGCATTTTCCACTCTCTGACCTTGGAAACCATTCAATAAAAAGCTGAACAGAAAATGGCCATAAGTATTTTTCTCAATAAGTAAGATCACAAATTTATATTTATATTGGGAACAGATCAGAGACTGTTCGTTAAGCTGATTCCTGGGATAAAGTAGATGTCTTATGAGGAAAAGTTGAATAGATTGAGCCTATACACATCGGAGTTTAGAAGGAGGAACGCTGGTCCTCTTAAACCTTAGATTCTGAGAGGAGTTGACAAGGTAGATGGTAGGAGGCTGCTTCCTCTCATGGTAGAATTGAGAGCTAGAGGGCAGAGTTTCAAAATAAGGGATTGCTCATTTTTACGGAGATGAGAAGAAATGTCTTCTATCAGAGGATTGTTCACATTTAGAATTCTCTCCCACAGTGAGCAGTGGAAGCTGGGTTATTGAATATATTTAATGCTAAGTTGGACAGATTTTTGATCAGCAAAGTTGATGGTTATTGGCACATGGGACAGAAAGTGGAATTTGGTTACAATCATATCAGCCATGACCTTATTGAATGATGGAGCAGGTTTGACGGGTTGAATGGCCAACACCTATTCCTATAATTACATAAATTTGTACTACTCTCCAGATCTGTGTAATAACATCTCTGAACAGATTGAGTAGAAAAATAGATTAAGTTAAAAAAAATTAACTTGTACTACTCAAATGAACTGTTAAATGCATGCAACACCTTTCCTGTTTTTGTAACAAATTCATGGAGGTTAGAAAATTAATAGAGATTAAAAAAGCTTCCGTTCATACAACGTCACTGTAATCTTTTATCAAACTAGTGGAGTACATTTTATACATCTGAGTATTTGTAGGTTATGTGATGTAAAGTTGAAGTATTAACTGGAGAGACCGATGACAGTGCTGAATTATCTGATTCTAGCTGTGGTCAGTATTGGGCAAGGCACCTGGTCACTCTGCCCAATTGTAAAATGTGCCCATCAAATGCAGATAAGACCAGATGCAATTCATTATTCTTGGGCAATTCACTTACCTAACCTCATAGGTGAAGAATCACTGCTTGTAGGCAATAGACATTGACAGATGATAATATTTGTAAAATGATGCAAAAGGCATCAGGGACAGAGGAGAATAAAGAATAAAACTTCTTTACACCCCTACTTTCTGGCTTTGTAAGATCTGTTTTCCTTGATGCTGAGGCATACAAGGTTATGGTCCAATTACTGGAAAATTGGCTTAGAATCGATGGGCCTTTTGCTGTGCTGTTTACTGCTATGACTGTATGTTGTAAATACAAACACCCCTGAAAACATTGCATCTTAAGTCAATTTTTTCTTTAAAGCTGAAAATTCGTCGTGATTTACATATGGTATGCAATGAAATTTTTCCTTACCGTAACTTGTATGGTGCTCAGCTATAATCTGTATCAAAATTTATATAGTTAGCTTTCTATTGAAAGTATTCTTCGCAGACCTGATCATGATAGCTGAACTTTCAAAATCTCCAAATCTTATCTTGAAGGAAATGATTGTACAAACATCAAGGAACTATTTCCCAGTGCTTCAAGTGATGTCTATATGATTCAGCCAATAGGAAAATCCAAGCCATTTAAGGTATTTAATGATTGTTATCCATGTGATTTAATATAGATATTAATATTAAAAATCTTGTGATCTGGCAATACAGTGATGCACTTCATTGTTTGCTAGTGTATCTGAAAAATGTTTTTTTTTTCAAGCTAATTATTATGCAATACAAACCTGATTTTCTGAAATTAGAACAAAATGAAGATTGAGCTTGGAAAAACAAAAATCACAATTGGAAAATGGAAACTTATTTTACCCCAGATTAATTAGATCACAAAAGAGATCATGAAATTGTCTCTATCACTAAGGCTATTGGACAATTAAATTGAACACAGTCTACTCATTATAATGTTAATTAAAATGCTCGGTTTTGAAGGGGAGCAATTTTAATTGACAGACCTCCCAATCATTGGGCTGACTTAGCCAAATTAGAACAGATTTCCAGATCATATACACATACTTTAGAGTTGTCTGGGATACCTAGTTATACTTTTTTTTCAATTAGCATTGTTTATTCAAAAGTGTTACTTTGGTAATGACATAATCTGAAACTAACCGAAAACATTACGTAAGTTTTATTCATGGCATTACAGATTTGAAATGTTTTTAGGTGTCAAAGCTAGTTAAACCATGAAAGTCTCTCTTAACTTTTGTAGTATTAAACATCACACTAGGATATAACATTCTTGTTTTGCATTTTTCAAGTTGCATAAGTCTTATGTCTTGGCAATTAAAGTTATGCAACATAACAACTGAAATGAAAAGCTCTTGTGGTGCAGTAAAGTGTCTTTACCTCTGAGCCAAGAAGCCCATATTCAAGTCCCAGCCACTCCAGAGACATGTAATAACATCTATGAACAAGTTGATTAGAAAATATTTAAAACAGCTGAAGTAAAGCTGTACTTGGATTTAGTTATAGTACTGTAAATGTCCATTCTGGTAAAAAAAATAAACTGTTTGTGGTATCTGAAGTTGTTATTATTGATGTTCCTTGCTAATTTTAAATACAACGTAAAAACACTGGTTTTAACACCCTGACAAGAAGTTGCATCATGTCTCGTCCAAGGATATCAGACAATTTTTAAAATATTTTATCCTAACTATTCATCAGTAAAACATTTAGGATTTATCACTTTGTTTATGTCTATGAGTTAGTATGCTTAAATCTGGTTTACATACTGAATCTATTTTGAGGAGACATTGAAAGAAATTCCTAGGACATTTCTCCTACAATATACTGTAGAATTTATATTATTGCAATATACATTATAGGTATTTTGTGACATGAAGGATGATGGAGGTTGGACTGTACTCCAGATTAGAAATGGTTTAGATTCCCTGAATTTTCAAAAAAGTTGGGCTGAGTACAAGAAGGGATTTGGACATCCAAGCTGTAAGTATTCTCAACTTCTGGAACAGTTACTACTTCTTAGATTCACTGTTGTAATGGTCACCTGACTGTCTTTCTATCACCTGCTAGAACTTGCAGCTCATCCAGGTTTTGCTATCAATCCCCTGGTATTTCATCATCATCATTGAGTATGGATCTTTCCATGATGCGCTCCTTCCCTAATTTCCATAGCTTTTGCTAACCCTACAACCCTTACCAACTCTCATGGGAGGGCAAGTGATAGATTTTGATCAAATACTTTGGCACTAAAAAGCCCAACAACACATGCTCGTGAACTGCAACAATCTTGGTAAAAACGTTAAAGTACACGCAAGGAGTTGCTACTGAAGAAGGATTGAACAGCATTTTTTGAGAGACATCATCTAGCATCAAACACAAACACTCATGATACAGGACATACCTAAATTTAGAATGTGGCCTCTAGCTGGCCTCTAGCTGAGAATCCTGTCCTCCCCTTTCCTCCTCTTGCAAATCATCCTACTCTACACACATTACCTGTCTTTATGTTTCCAGTCCTGTTTATTTCCAACAAGAAGGTACAAGGTAAACATGGTTCAACACAAGCCTTTATAACATCAAAAAAAAATCATTTCTGCACAAGGCAGACAAGTTCCTGCACACTACGCTTCAAACAACTATGAAAAAGCTCTCGAATGAGTACAACTGCAACAACAGCCAGAAGTCATCCAATCAGAGGGAAGATTTATGATTTTGCAATCTATAGAAATAAAAATCTTAAGGTCTAATCGTTTTATTAGAAACTTATAGGGAAAAAAAAATCATTCATTTCCTTTGTATACCATTTTGTAAACTGCAGAACTCCCTACTCATGTCTACAAAGTATCAAAAACCCATTACAAAAATGCATTAAAAATGTTTTCTGTATAACTTTTGCGAGTTTCTTCAATTATAAAGGTGAGCATTGGCTGGGACTGGAAAACATTTACTCACTGACTAACCAGGCAGACAAGAAATTTAAACTTCGTGTAGAATTAAAGGATTTTGAAGACAACAGCGCACATGCAGAATATTCTGAATTCTGGATTGACAATGAAACAGAATTTTACAGACTTCACCTGGGAAATTACTCAGGAAATGCAGGTAGAGACATGTTTGTTTTGGCACAGAAGGCTGTGGATTCATGTCCCAGTTTAGAACTTGAGCACTTGATCTATGCTGACACTCCCTTTGTACCTCACAGGCCTATTTCAGGTGTAACCTCTAGCAGGGACTATTAAACTAAGGTTTCATCTGTCATTGATGTGGATGCTGAAAATCACATGGCAAAATTCAGAGCTGTGGACCCACCAAAACTTCCCCTCTATAAACATCAAAATCTTTTGTCATGATATCACTATGTTTTTCAAGCAACAAGTGACATTTCAAAATACTAAATGTGTTTTGAACTGATCATAGAAATGGGCCATTTGGCCCAACAAGTCCACACCGACTCTCTGAAGAGCATTCCACTCAGACTCACCCCCCTACTCTATCCCTGCCGTTTCCATGGCTAATCCACCTAACCTTAACATCCTGGACTCAATGGCCAATCTGCCTAACCTGCACATCTTTGGACAGTGGGAGGAAACTGGAGCACCTGGAGGAAACCCACACAGATATGGGGAGAATGTGCAAACTCCACACAGAGTTGCCTATGACTAGAATTGAACCTGGGGCCCTGGTGCTGTGAGGCAACAGTGCTAACCGCTAAGCCACCATGCTGCCCCTGATATCAGACATCCTGAGGAAGTGATGAGACGCTCTTGGCAAAAATGTATTATTTGCAACTATTTTAAAAGGCCAATTCCAAAATGCTATTTATTCAGATAAAATATTGGTAATGTCATAAAGCTTTTAACAATTTTTATAATGCATCAGTTCTTGGCATTGCTGTCTAGCCAAATATCTTACAAAATTATAAAGGAAAAATGCTTTATATTTCTACAAGCTAAATAATGAAAACTAGCATACTCTTCTGGAATCAAGCAGGGTTTTTAGAAGAGTTCACAGGTTCCAAGTGGTTATGCTTCAACCTTTCTACAAAAACAATTTTAGATATCCAATATTTTTAGTTGTTTTAACCGTAATCTTTGTGAATAGTCACTATTGCACTACGAGTAGAGATGTCAATGACTGCATAAAGATTGACAGTAATATCACTCATTTTTGGGCTCAGGTGATGCTTTCAGAGGATCAGGACCCCCAGAAGATGATCAAAATGGTCACATGTTCAGTACTTATGACCAGGATAATGATGATTGCAAACCTTGCATCTTTGGTGACATTGCAATTGAAAGTTGTAGTGCTATGCTTGGTAGTGGATGGTGGTTCAGTCAATGTGGAATGGCAGATTTAAACGGGGACTGGCATTCAAAAGATAATAATATTGGCTGGCTGTCTGGACTATACTGGAAAACCTGGAAACAGGTGCCATATTCATTCCAAGTCAGTAAGTTAAAAGTTAGATCCGTGTAAATTTGTTAATACAACTAGTGGGTGACTTATATGAACAATAAAACTTACATTGTTCCACGTGTTACAACTTTTACCTAATTCTTGTTATCCAAGCAGATTTTAAACAGATGTTACAAATAAATTGTAAATTTACTCATGATTAAAATGTGTAATTTAAATATTTTGATTTAAAGTAAAAGAAGTTAACAAACAAAACAGGAAATACTGGTTATACTAAGCAGGTGAGGCAACATCTATGAAGGAAGAAACAGAGTTAATGTTTCGGCTTAGTGGCATTTCATCAGAAGTTCTGAATATAGGTCATCAACCTTAAACATTAACTGTGTTTTTACAGATCTTGCTTGATCTATTGGGTATTCCCAGCATCGTGTTTTTATTCAGAATTTTTTGTATCTGCAGTATTTTGCTTTAATATTTGCAACTTGTTGTATAGTCTCACAGATATAACTTGCTGATCAAGTAAGAACAATTATGGCTAACATCAGTGTTTTTGCAAAAATAAAGAAATACAGAAATCAGACCATGTCTTCTGGTTTGAACACAAATTATTCTCAAATCTCCTCCATCTGGTTTAGATTTGTCAATGGTAGCTCCAAGGTGGGTATCAGCTGAACCTGTTTTGGTAAAATTATATCACAAGTGTAGGAGTGGAAGTGATAATATTTATCAAGATACTTTTCTGCTCTTTTTCTTGGACAATTGCACTTATGTAGTGCTACAATAAGGGCTGGGCAACAACCATTGCCAAACAAGAGATAATTTAATTATCTCCTCATGACATTCAATGGCATTACCATCGCTGAATTTCCTACCATCAACCAGACATATAAATACTGTGGTTACAAGAGCAAGTCAGAGGCTCTGAATTCTGTAGCGAGTAACTCACACCCTGTCTCTCCAAAGTCTACCCACGGTCTGCCAGGCATAGTAAGGAATAGTCTGGATGAGTGTAGCTCCAACAATATTCAAGAATCACACTTCATCCGGAAAAAGCCAGCTGTCTCAGTTAGCACCAAAACCACGACATTAAGTGCTCATTCCTTCCAGCACCTGACATTTTGGCAGCAGCGTGTGGCATCTACATGATGCACTATAGAAACTCACCAAGGGTCCTTCTAAACCCATGATCTCTACCACCTAAAAGAACACTGGCAGAAGATACATGGAAACCTGCATATTAAATGATGAAGTGGTTAAATGCCAAACACTGGCAGAGGAAGCCTTCAAATGTGCATTAGTTTTTCCACTTAACAGCCAAAATTGGCACACTGGTAGGCTGGCTGCACAACACCACTGATAACACCGATATAGTTGGGGGCACTGACAGATGGATAGACAGTGGGCAGACAGCCGACTGATTTAATGTACTCCTTGCCCTCAAACTAGTCAGCAGGGGAGTGTTAAATCCAATTCTAAGAACCACTTGGCACTCATTACGTTAAGAATTGGTCTGATTTCTTTCAGAATTTTGAAATGGTGCTTACCCAAAGAATGCAAATTTTTAAAGATTCTTTGTAGAATCTGTGCTTTTGTTCATTTAAGTGAATCAAAGGTAAGCTGGCTACAAATAAGTTCTGTTCAGTGCATACACTAATTAAACTTTATTTTATCACAATTATTGGGGAGGCAATGGCCTAATGGTATTATCGCTGGACTGTTACTCCAGGGACCCGGGTAATGTTCTGGGGACCCAGGTTCGAATCCTGCCATGGCCGATGGCGGAATCTGAATTCAATAAATATCTGGAATTAAGAGTCTAATGACGACCATGAATCCATTGTCGAAAAAAACCCATCTGGCTCACTAGTGTCCTTTAGGGAAGGAAACTGCCACCATCCTTACCTGGTCTGGCCTACATGTGACTCCAGACCCACAGCAATTTGGTTGACTCTGAACTGCCTTCTGGGCAATTAGGGATGGACAATAAATGCTGCCTCACCAGCGATGCCCTTGTCCTGTTAATGAATGAAATAAAAGCCACACTTTGCATGGAAATCTGCACTTAGTTGATTTCATAAATAAAGTTTCTCTGACCCAGGTAAATCCAAGATTGATTGGGAAATGAATCCATTATTGTTTGGAGTGTGATTATACTTTTAATTTTAAAATTATCCAACATGACAAAAACTTAAGCTCATGTGAAGATATGCAGACTCAAAATACACTGTTTTAATTGTAAACATAGCTGACCACTAAATGAGAGCATCAAGCTTGATTCCACTGTACAGCACATACAAATGCTGCACAGTAAAACATTAAACATCCTTGTATATGCATAACTACAGCATAAAGTTTCCTGTAACACTGATTTTTATATGGCACAGATATACAAATATATACATGAATACAAATGGACAGATGCATAATTTAAAAATTGCTAACAATTGAAATTTTACAAGCATTAATAATTTACTTCAAGTTAGATCAATTTTAATTTAAGTTTGATTTCTAATAACATAAAAGATGAATTCTTGAGAGCTACGTAACAGTTAAACATCCAAATAATAATTATTGAAATTAATTCTCAACAGGAAATCCTCAAGATGTGGCTGATATCCCCGATTGACGAGTTTAGTCACAACTGGAGAGGGGAAAAGGAAATCAGTTTAAAAAAAAAGTCTTTGGTAGATAAATTAAGACACTCTACTTTTCTAAACTAGAACAGATTAACCAATAAATAGAAGCACTTAACATTTACTTTTAAAAAAAGCACAGAAAAGTTACATATACAGAAATTTAAGGTCTAGCCACCTTTGGTCAAGAGTCACAAATGCAACTTCAACACTGGCTAGTAGACATACAATGATAAAGATTCCAAAAGCAATAGATCAGACTAACACTGGATCTTCCAGCACTTCATATACTGGAACTGATTTCAGATAGTATCTACAAATTATTTTGCAGTAAACAAATCAGGTATTGCAGTAATGGAATATGTAAATCAGTAAATGAATAGCTTTGAAAACATTCCAACTCATCGCAAAACAGTTACTACTACATATGGAAGATTTGAAAATTACGCTGTTGCGTCTATTGTATTCACTCTGTCACAGAACCACTAATTGCCATGACAATGGTTCCTGCTGCAAATATCTTAACAATGTTTATCATTTAAAAAAAAAATTCTTTCACGGTGATGTACCTACAAAGAACAGAAAACAAATATATATGTAATGCAAGAAGTATCATTATTGATTATGAATTTGACTTGTGATTCTAGAAACTTTTGGGCACAATGATACAAAACAGAATTGCGCACATCTCCTCCATGTGCTGATGAATCAGCAATCCTCCATGTTGAACACTTAGAGGAAACACTAAGGGTGATAACAGCACAAAATGTACTTTGGGTGAGGGATTTCAATATCTACCACCATAAGTGGGTTAGCAGCAGCACTACTGATCGAACTGTGCGGATCCTAAACGACATAGCTGCTAGACTGGATCTGTGGCAGGTGGTGAGGGAATCAACAAGAGGGAAAAAAACATACTTGACCTCATCCTTACCAACCTACCAGCTGCAAATGCAACTGTCCGTGACAGTATCAGTAAGAGAGACCTCTGCACAGTCCTTGTGGAGATGAAGTCCTGCCTTCACCTAGGGAATAATCTCCATTGTGCTGTTTGGCACTATCAGCATGCTAAATGAGACAGACTTTGAACACATGTAGCAACTCATGACTGGACATCCATGAGTGCCATGGGCCATCAACAGCAGCAGAACTGTATTCCAGCAAAATTTGCAATCTCATGACCTGGTGTACCCCACACTCAACTATAACCACCAAAACGGGATCAAAATAAAAACCGAAAGAACTGCGGATGCTGTAAATCAGGAACAAAAAATGAAGTTGCTGGAAAAGCTTAGCAGGTCTGGCAGCATCTGTGAAGAAAAAAATCATAGTTAACATTTCAGGTCCGGTGACCCTTCCTCAGAACAGTTCTGAGGAAGGATCACCGGACCCGAAATGTTGACTATGATTTTTCTTCACAAACCAGGGGATCAAGCCCGGTTCTTTGGAGAACGCAGGACGACATGCCAGGAACCGTACCAGACATACCTACAAATGAGGGGTCAACCTGGTGAAACTACCAAACAGGACCACTTGTGTGCCAAACAGTATAAGCAGCAAGTGATATACAGAGCTAAGTGATATCACACAACCAACACATCAGATTTAACAGCTACAGTCCTACCACATATAGTCAGTAATAGTGGTGGACAATTAAACAACTCACTGAATGAGGCAGCTTCACACAAATATTCCCATCCCAAATGAAGGAAGAGCCCAGCACATCAGTGCAAAAGATAAGACTGAAGCTTTCACAGCTATCTTCAGGCAGAAGTGCCAAGTAGATGATTTGTCACTGCCTCCTCTAGTGGTCCCCAGCATGACAGATACCAGACTTCAGCCAATTTGATTCACTCCACATGATATCAAGAAACAGATGGAGGCACTGGATACTACAAAGGCTATGGGTCCCAACAACATTCCAGCAATAGTACTGAAGACTTGTGCTCCAGATCTTGCCGCTCACCTAGCCAAGCTTGTCCTGTACAATTACAATTCTGGCATCCACCCAACGATGTGGAAAATTGGTATGTCCTGGAAAAACAGGCATGTCCTGTAAATAAATAGGAAAAATACAACCTAACCAATGACATATCCCATCAATCTACTTTCGATCATCAGTAAGGTGATGGAAGGTGTCATCAATAGTGCTATCAACCAGCACCTGCTCAGCAACAACCTGCTCAGTGATGCCCACTTTGGATTCCACCACCTCACTCAGCTCCTGACCTCATTACAGCCTTAGTTCAAACGTGGACAAAAAAAGCTGAATTCCAAAGGTGAGGTGATAGTGACAGCCCTTGACATCAAGGCTGCACTCTTATCGAGTGTGGTATCAAAGAGCTCTAGCAAAACTGGAATCAATGGTATCACCATTGGTTGGAGTCATACCTGATATATAGGGAGATAGTCACGGTTATTGGAGGTTAGTCATCCCAGCTCCAGGAAATCTCTATAGTAGTTCCTCAGTATAGAGTCTTAGGTCCAAGCTGCTTCATTAACAAACTTCCCTTCATCATAAGGTTGGAAGATGGGTATGTATGCTGATGATTACACAATGTTCAGCACCATTTGCAATTCCTCAGATACTGAAAGTCCATGTTTGAATGCAACAAGATCTGGACAGTATCCAGGTTTGGGCTGACAAGTGGCAAGTAACATTCACACCACACAAACACCAGGCTATGACCATTACCAGTAAGAGACAATTCAACCACTGCCACTCGACATTCAATGGTGTTATCATCACTGAATTCCCCACAGTCAACATCCTTGGGGTTACTACTGAGAAACTCTGCTGGAACCGCCACATACACACAGTGGTTTCAAGAGCAGGTCAGAGGCTAGGAATACTACTGCGAGTAACTCACCTCAGCCTGTCATCATCTACAAAGGCACAAGTCAGGAGTGTGATGGAAAACTCCACAATTGCCGAGATGCATGCAGCTCCAACAACACAAGAAGCTTGACACCATGCAGGACAAAATAGTCTGCTTGTTTGGTCACATCCACCAACATTCACTCGCTCCACCACTGATGCTCAGTCGCAGAAATTCAAAGATCCTCAGATAACACCCTCCAAACCCACGATCACTTCCATCCAGAAGGACAAGGGCAGCCAATACACGAGAACACCACCACCTGCAAATTCTCCTCCAAGCCACTCACCATCCTGAACTGGAAAGATATCATCGTTTCTTTAATGTCTTTGGGTCAAAATCCTGGAATTCACTCCCGAATGTCATTATGGGTCAATCCACAGTAGGTGGACCTCAGCAGTTCAAGATGGCAGCTCAACAGCACCTTCTCAAGGGCAACTAGGGAGAGGCAATAAATGCTGGCCAGGCAGCAATGCTCACATCCCACGAATGAATTTTTAAAAATCATTTACCCATGACTAGTTATTTTTACAGGTACAATTTCAGTTACAGATTCAGCAAAGTATTTTTCATCAGTAATAGACATTACATCTGATTTAAAGGGAACTGTAACTATCAATGGATGAATGCACATACCCTACCTTTGAAAAGGAAGTGTGAATAATGTTTAAATGTTTTGTAGGATTGCTGCATCACAGTAAAGTTGGGATGTATTGTCATTTGCTTTTCAGCATCATACTGCCAGGCTTCAGAGATCAACTGACTACGGAATTTCAGAATCAGACTGAAAATATTGTGTATGATATTCATCACTGGAGCAGCTTTCTCTGTTAATAAGCCCCTATAAAATCAAAAAGAAAAACGTTAGTTCCAAAGATTTTGCCTTCATTATCAATTAGAAGTCACATTTTCTATGTGAAAATAAATAGCTTAAAGTCCAAAAATCAAAATATTCGCTTTAAGTATGCTTTGTGATGCAATGGAATAAAAATTGGAGCCACTAAAGCTACTTTTAGCCCTTTCAAAGTACAGGTATTTGGCATGCAAGCAACTCCTTTTCTACTCTGTTCAATCTTTACATCAGAAGTATTCTTCTTTTCCCTTCTTCCAAAAAAAGCAGAGTATAACCAATAGCAACAATCATTTTAACTTTATTTTTGCTCATCTGCCTTTTATGGGTATTCAGTTTTAGGATTGTGATGTGATTGTCAGGTCAGCATTCTTTCTCCGATCTTTCTTACAGTTCGTCAATGTTGCTGTGCAGCCAAATAGTTACCATAAAATAGGCATGCCAGGCCATGCTTTAGAACGGTTGCAGACAAAAGAAAACAATTCTTGCCTGAAAATGCCTTTGTTAAGGTATTCTGCATGTGTTCTGTGGAGTTCATCCAGATTTCCAACCGATGATAATTTGTGCACAAATTCACACCAGGTCACATGCAAGATCTGATTAGCAATGTAACCTTGGATGACTTTGACAAAATGCTGCATTTCATGCCGATAGAGTTGAAGTTGATGAAATTGAACTGAATTTGAAAAACGATTCACTAAAGCTAAAAGAAAAATGAAATTAAAAAGATAAAATTTTCATAATGCTAGAAAAATAGGCGGTGACTTGCATTTGTAACTCACAAGACTTCTCAAGATCAGCTGGTCAGAAGCAAAACATGATAAATACTCTGCAATTGTACTGTTTTTGAATTAGTTCATTATTCTTGTATCATAATGTTAAACAGAATTAGGTGGTTTTAGCTAATGCTGAGAATAGCACATTTTCAGTACATATCACCAAATTAGCAATCACTTCTCCCAGTTTTTAGACATATGATATTATCTGGTACATAACGCCTTGATATATAGCACATATTCCCAAATTCATTTACTGTATCAACAGAGGAGGAGTTAATTATCTTCAGATACAATAATAGGAAATATTTTTGTAACGTGATCAAAATTCCCAATTTAAAGAATTCACCAATTACAGATAACAGTGATAAAAAAAATGTTCAGGAACAAAGATCACTGATTCATCTAGATCAGCACTTTTCATACTGTGATTCAATGACTAGTAGCATGTTCCCAATAAACATTCATCCAATTCCTCTTCAAAAAGAAAACACACAACCAAATGTTTTGATTCCTTCAGCTCCATATTCTCCATATCAAATCTACTTTCATCCATATCTGCAGAGATTGAAGCCTCAGGATAAGCAATTTCTTTCTTTAATTCTCATTTTCAGATGAACAATTGTCTGCCTTCAATAATTATACATCCGCCAGTTATACATTCAAGGAAGAAAATGCTAAACAGGATAATCTCAGTAATTACAGGCCAGTTAGTTTAACTTCAGTGGTGGGAAACTTCTAGAAAGAATAATTCAGATTCGAATTAATAATCATATGGACATATGTTAATAAAAGTAAACCAGCATGGATATCTTAAGGGAAATTTGTTTAATAAACTTGCTAGAGCTCTTTGAAGAGATAATAGAAAAGATCGATGAACGAACGCTGTTGATGTGGTGTACGTGGACATCCAAAAGGTGGTCAATACAGTACCATACGCAGACTTGTGAGAAATGTTAGAACTTGTGAAACAAAAATGACAGTAACAACATGGATACAAAATTAGGTGAGTGGTAGGAAACAGAAAGCAATGGTCAACGGATATTTTTCAGGCTGGTGGAAAATTTGTAGTGGAGTTGCCTACAATTCAGACTTCAGCCCCTTGCTGTTCCTGACATACATTAATGTTCTAGACTTTGGAATACAGGGAAAAACTTCAAACATTGCAGACAATACAAACCTTGGAAGCATTGCAAACTGTGAAGAGGTCAGTATAGAACTTCAAAAGGACATTGACAAGTTGATGGAGTGAGCAGGAAGGGGGCAGATGAAGTTCAATGTGGAAAGATGAGGTGATACATTTTGGTAGAAAGAATATGCAGAGTAAGCAGAAAATAAAGGTGAGTACTCTAACCAGTATACAACAGCACAGAAACCTGGATGTAAATGTGCACAATCGTTAAAAGATGGCAGGACAGGTGGACAGCACAATTAATAAAGCATACAATACACAAAGCTTACTTAACAGAGAGGTATAGAGTACAGGAGATGGGAGGTTATGCTGAACCTATATCAGACACTAGCTCGATCTCAGCTGGAGTACTGGGTACAGTTTTGGGTGCCAGAATTTAGGAAGGATATGAATGCAATGTAGCAAGTTTTTTTTTTTAAAACATTCACTCATGGGATATGGGCAACTTTGGCTGGGTCAGCATTTATAACTTATTCATACTTGCCCTTGAAAAGGTGGTGGTGAGTGAAAAAGAGGTTTACATGAATCGTTCATGTGTCGCGAAATCTGTTATGGTGACAGACTGGAGATGTTGCTGTTTTCTTTGGAGTGGAAAACACAGGAACAGGCCATTTAGCCCATTGAGTCTGTTCTGCCATTTAATAATCATGGCTGATCGAACACTTCAGTATCTTTTATCCACAATATCACCATAACCCTTTACATCATTGGTAATCAGAAATCTATCAATCTCTACTTTAAACACACTCAAAGATTTAGCTTACACAGCTCTCTGGGGAGAAGAATTCTGAAGATTCGCAACACTGGGAGTAAATGAAAACTTCTCATTTTCTTGGTCTTCATCTCCTTTCTTTTTAAATTGTGCCTCCTTTGGCTAGACTCCCCAGCCAGGGGAAACATCTTACCAGGACCAAGCCTATCTGTCTATCTCTAAGTACTTTGTAGGTTTAAGTGATATCATCTCTCATTCTTCAAAACAGTAGCAAATACAGGTCCTGTTTTGTCCTCTCTCCATTGAACAGTTCCACCACCATGAGAACAAGTCTGGTAAACCTTCGTTACACTCTTTCAATGGCATCAATTTCCTTCCAGAGGCAAGGAGACCAAAACTGCACACGGTATCCAGGTGTGTCTAACTAAGCTTCTGTACAACTAAAGCAAGACTCCAGTACTCAAATACCAGGACTTATTAACTTTCAGCCCCATTTATTTCTCCAGTACAACCTTCTTGCTAATAATAGTTTCCCTCAAGTCCTCATTCTTCCGGATTACTTTGATTCCTAATTCTGTTAGATTTCTTGTATCTTTCTCAATGAAAACAGACACAAATTAAGCATTTAGTTTCTTTGCTATTTCTCTATTTCCCGTTTTAAATTCACCTGACTCTGCCTGTAATGGACACATGTTTGAATGATCCAAAGATTTCTTTCTTACATGCCTATCGAAGTCTGTTTTGGTCAAAACTGCATTCATATTCTCTTTTTCTGTTCTAGATCAGCTAAAACCAGATATAACCTGCAAAACAAATCATTAGCACGAGGGACCTTAGACATGTAACCAACATTTTATTCATTTTGGAATGACTATGCTAATAATTTATGAAACAGTCTATTTTCTGATTTTGTTGCTTTACACAGTTATCTAATAAGTAATCCATGTGCTCTTTTCAAGCTAATCTTGTGTTTAATTGTAGCCAAACAAAATTTAATAAATCCATACAAATACATTTTTACATTCCATTTCTTGCAAAAATTCAATGATTCTCAACATATGTTCAACAAAAAGGGATTAATATTCTTGCACCTGTACGTTTTAAATGGAACCAAACATCTTTTAGTGTCCAGAACATATGCTTTAGCTGCAGCAGAAAAGAAAAGATCTTGTTGTACTTGCTCATGCAGCTTTCTGTGATCACGATGTTGAGGGGCCAGTTCACCTATACAAGCATACAGGTAAAAGAAAAATAATGTTCATTATTGAGACTGGGTATTGATGTACAGTCTGATATCAATTTCAAAACAGGCATATTTACACTCAATTCTCCTCCTATCCTAAAATAATTTCCTGGCACCTCACAAATGTTGTCAGCTAATTTTGGTAACGTACAGTTCATTGTGAAGCATAGTAAATTTCTATTTTGGCATTCAGTTCACATATAATTGGATTGAAATGTCACAACACAAGCACTTTTGAATACCACCAAAAATTTAAATAAAGCAAAGCCTCATTAATGAAAGGATTCATCATCATAAAGGTGAGTTTAACTTTGTGTTCGTCTTGGAAGTATATTTATATTAATTGCTTTTGAACGCATAATATTTTCATTTTGCATAAAATATATAAACTGTTTAAGATGGCTCACTTTTGCTTAAGATTTGTCTGGAAGCATCTGTAGATTTGTTCAAATTCATACAAATTTTTAGGAACAAAAAAGATCATAAACCAACAGGTTCTTTGTTTGAACTCAATCCCATTTTTCTACATTTTCATCAAGCCAACTATTCCTTCTTTCTTGAAAAGTACATGTAATGTCCATTCAATTCACCTATACCAATAGCTTCAAGTGATTTATTTAGAAAAGTATTTCATATACTTTGCAATATTTTTGGATGACACAATTAGTCAAATTTCCCGATTACTCGTTGAATACTGTTGAAACTGATCATTTCTTTTTGAAACTTTCATCAGCATGATCAATATGTTTTATTAAACTCTTTAAAACTCTGGAAACATTAGTTATAATTTTGATAAGAACACACAGAATTATTCAACTTTTCTTCAAAATAAATTCAGATCCTTAAAAACCTGATTTCGTCTTGGTGTCCTTTGCAATATTTGTCCAAAGATAATAATACTGCATTTATTGTCCAGTGATCAGTGCAAAGCACTACAGTTATAGTGAGTCTGTATGTAGAAAAAAATACTTTCCATTTGCAAGTCTAAACTGTTACTAATGAACATGGGTTCATTAATTTTTTTCTCATTTTAAAGCACCAATGCACCAGGATGACATATTCCTACAATATTTTCATTATGTCCCTCCAACTCTGTTGACCAGTACACCATGACTATTGCATTCAACAAATATTGTTAGTAACGTTCACATTGTACTGCATTTTTCATTCCACTGACCGTTTCTTTAAAGATTCAAATCCTTTTGAAGATGCTGTATTGTGCCTCATTATGTGTTTTGCAAGTTAGATTGACGCCGGCAATGTGGGTTCAATTCTCACACTGCCTGAGGTTATCATGAAGCACTGTCCTCATCAACGTCTCTCCTCACCTGAGGCGTGGTGCAAAAACCACCAGCAGTCATACAGTCAGAGTTGTACAGCACAGAAACAGACCCTTCAGTCCAAATTGTCCAGGCCGACCAGATATCCTTTACTAATCTGGTCTCATTTACCCCAGTCATCTCTTTAATGAGAGAGCAGCCCTTTGATCTGGTAAGACTATGCTGACTTCTCTTTTTTTATTTGTTGTCTCTCCAATTTCAGTGTAATTCAAATTTATGAGTGCACAATAACCTCTTGTTGCCAAACATTCTGGGCTGGAAAGGTTAGTGTGTGTTACCAAACCAAATTGCTTGATCTTCACTTTGCACTAATTCCGTTAGAAACCTTATCTCTCAATAAATATCTTTGTCATGTTTGTATTTGTTTATTAACACTCAAATTGCCTAAATGAAAACATATTAGAACAAATTATTATAAATGAAAGATACTTAAATCTCTAAGAATATGTTCTGACCTTGTATCTTAGTTCCAAACAGTTCAAAGCATCAGGTGCATTGGGCTTGAACACTTCGGGCAGATATTTGAGAGCAAAGGTCAGATTAGAGGCGAGCTTGGAGTCTCCATGAAGACTATACTGCAAAGCTTTGTTCAAGATTGAATTCAGAACTAAAGGATTCAGAAGTTCTCCAGGGGTCTGTCCAGATCCAAGCTATTGAAAGAAATAATAATAATTTCAGTCCATTTCATAATTGGTCTACAAAACTCACGGATATTAAGCTGTGGGCATTCACTAAATTAAAACTTCAGCATAGATATCAGTGCTTTGCCATTCAATCTCAATTTCACAAGTTTAGTTTTTAAACAACTGGTGTCTGTTTGAATTCTATTGAAACATAAAAAAAACTGGAAAGTAATTTTTATTTAGCAAAGCATGTATTACTATGACTCAGTGAGTTAGACAGTGGCCTTTGAGTCCACTTGCTCTGCCTGCTGGCAATAAGATTACCAAGTGTAATAAGTTTGGCCATTTCCATTCAACTGCTAGTGGGCCTTTCATTTGGCACTAAACAAGCAATCTCAGTCAGAGAAGCCAGAGGATGGATAATATATCAAATGGGAAAATGTCACACTGGTTCATCATGGATGCTCTCTGAGGTGTGGGCTAAGGTACATGGTAGGCTGAAATTACCTATACTAAACATGTTGCATCCCAGTCCTAATGAAGGGAACCAAATTCAGAACTTATGATAAAGATTTTAAACTTGTACTCAGCTTGTAAACAAAACAAGTTACCAGAGGGTAGAGAAATTTGTGAACTTTATTTCATCGTTTCAAATTTAGGGCTGTTGATGGTGCTTGGTTGAGTTAGACCATGAAGTGGTCAGAGCATCTTTTCTCTAAAGTTGACTCCAACTCCTCGAATCTACGTATGCAATTACATACTGGGGTTCTAAAAAAAAATGGCTCCCTCTTGTGGCTTGGTCCAAGTATTCCCTGTTACACGTGTTTGTTCATACACACATAGACAAGCCAAGCAGACAATTAGACAAATGAGGGCCTTATCAGAATCAATAACCTACTTTTTCCCAGGGATGTGAAAATACCGAATGGCAGGAATGGACGAAGGCATTTAGATGTTTTACAATAATTCCCACAATTTTATCTTTAATCATAGAAGATTGCAAGCTTTTTGTTTCAAATACTTTAGGAATTCGCAGTTTATACTCAAGATTGCAACAATATGGTATATCAAGAAACAAACTTGACTTGTTTATTTCAAAGCTAGGTCACATATTAAGACTATAAAAACACATGCTGAAAAGGGCTGGTTTAAACAATTGTTAGTCAAGGTAAAATCAAGTAAAATTTATAATTATCCCCAGCTATTCAAATTTACCTTTTCAAAGAGCATATCACTCAGTGATTGCGCAAACTCTCCATCTTCCATCAAAAGGAAATGTCTTAGTGCTTCAAAGTCCTGTTCAATGTTCAGTTCCACAAACAAATAATCTATTATGGCTTTATTTACCAGAGAGGCGCTAGAAAATTTGGAAGGAGGGAATGAAAATAGTTCATTAAAAAAAGGTAATTTAACAAGTAAAATGCAGAAAAAAACTATAATTTTCTCAGCATTCACATTAGTCTCAGTGGCCATTCTGACAAATGTAAAACATTTATTCCTTCAATATGAAGTTCATTAATTTTTAATCAATATTTACCACAGTTACTGGCCTCCCACATTCTACCTTCCTAAACTTGGAATCATTGAAAATTCACAAGTCGACATTCTAATTTACCCTAAACTCTATTCACCTAGTTTTCTGTCTTACTGACCTCCATTGGCTGTCAGTTAAGCAATACTTTGATTTTAAAACAGCGTTTAGCCAAAGCGAAATATGGCCCCACATGCACATGCCAACACGTGGCCACAAAAGTGTCAGCGCACGTGCCACAGATGTCACTACATACCGTGTGCACTGATGTCAGCAGCAGAGCATATGCAGATGGTTCCTACCATGGCCACACATGTGCAGGTGCTGGGACAGCTGGAGGTAAAGTGGAGGTCCAGTAGATACTAACTGGAGAGGTAAGGGTGCTCAAAACTGTGCTCTTTTTAGAGCAATTAACACAATCACATGTTCCATGTAAAATATTCCACTAAGTGAAAAGTCCCTTGTGTCATAAAATATATTCGGGCAATTGTAACTCCCAGTGTGAAAGAGGCTGGAGAAACAGGGTGATTATCTTAGGCCTCCCAGAGACCACGAAAACGCACAACTTCCAACTGAAAGTATTAGCTCAGAACTTCGACAGCACCAGCTTTGGGACGGCCTGCTGCTTTTGGTCACTTAAGATGAATGCAGATTGCCTCTTTGCGTATGTGTGCTCTTTACACAACCAAACAGCTGCATTTAAATTTACAGCAATTATAAAATGCTCATGTCTATAAATCCCTGAATGACCTTGCGCCCCCTATCTTTGTAATTTCCACCCAGTCATCCAAGATTATTTGTACTTCTCAAATTCTAGAGGCTTGAACACCCCCATTTGTCACCGCCCCTGCTTTGCAACCTTGCCTTTATTTGCCAAGACCCTAAGCTTTGGAATTCACACAATCTCCCCACTTCTCCTTCCTCCTTTTGGATGCTGTTTAAAATATATCTCTTTGACCACCAGCCCTTATAGCTCCTTGTGTGGTTTGTTGATGCTCCTGTGAAGTGCCTTGGGATGTTTCTCTACATAGCAGAAACTATGTACTTACATGTTCCACCATATATATTTGTTCCTCCACAGCTGCTGCCAGTCAGAAGTTTCTCCAGAAGATTTCAGATTTACAACATCTGCAGTATTTTTCTTTTGTAAGTATCATAGAAATCATAGAAACCCTACAGTGTGGAAACAGGCCATTCAGCCCAGCAAGTCCACACTGCCCCTCCAAAGAGCATCCCACCCTGACCCATTCCCCTACCTCTACATTTCCCTTGTCGAACCCACCTAATCTAAACACCCCTGGGCACGATGGGCAATTTAGCATTGCCAATCCATCTATCCTGCACATCTTTGGGCTGTAGGAGGAAACCGGAGCACCCGGAGGAAACCCACGCAGACACGGGGAGAATGTGCAAACTCCACACAGACAGTCGCCCGAGGGTAGAATCGAACCCAGGTCCCTGGCGCTGTGAGGCAGCAATGCTAACTACTGAGCCACCGTGCTGCCACTATGGACATGTTGTTACAATTAGCATCCTATTATTGTCAAATGTACTTTAGAAGTTTTGTGTTGGATAGATGGTGTAAATTGAAGTGCTGATAAAATATAACTAAAAACTTAAATTTTAACTGGTATTTTCCTTCTCAAATTATCTTTCTCAGCCTATTCTTTTCCAGATTTTCAGTCTATGAAGAGTGACTGAGTCAGAAGGTCTTAAAAATACCATGTTGATCTGTATCACTAACTTAAAAGAAATTGCAACCGTCACAATAATAGCCATTTGAGTCAAAAATACTTACTGAGCTATAAGCGGAGCTGTGATTGAATGCTTCATTAGTACTGGAAGTGAGATAAGACTACTTGCTTGCACTGCTGTCGCATCTGTTGCTCTACGAACTGAAGGATCCAAGGGCAATAAATAGGGTTCACTTATCACATTCTGAAGTAGGTGTGTGATAGGTGGCTCAGCTGAAACAAATAATGTACAGAAAGTTAAAATCAAGTCCAAAGAATTAAAACATGAATTCAGTAATCACACGTTGCCAGAGTGAAACATCATTCAAAAGGAGCATGGGTTAGAAAACTGGTGCAACAATCTTGTAGCTCCAGTTCCACCTCAACCTCCCTTTTCAATACAACTCCACACTGGCAGCAGGGATTCTTATCTAGAAATTTTTTACTAGTTATCCAGGCAAAAGATGATGTGCCTTACAATCCTTGGGAAATAAGGGGTAGAAATATCAGGCAAAAATCCTTACGTATGTGAAAAGGTTTTAAAAGAGCCATATCTACATTAATTCCATTATAAACAAAAAGTGATCCCTCCAAGAACATCTGTGTTTTATCACTGATACCAGTGATACAGATCCATGTTCTAATTTCATGCAGTATTCCATCTTTCTCAGATCCATTAAATTCTTACCTGCTTTTCAACTGAATAGACGTCACTTATTGTTTCCCTGCAAGCTACTGGTATAGATATTTTCTAATCAACCTGTTCAGAGATGGTATTACTCACCTCTGGAGCAGGTGGGAATTGAATCCAGGCCTCCTAACCCAGAGGGTGGGACACTACCACTGTGCTACAAGAGCCCTTAAGCATTAGTTACATACTGTTACTGATTAACATCATGATTAAATGAAACAGAACTCATTTCACATTAAGACAGGATGACTAGTCAGATAGTTCAGTAATTGCTTGTTGTTTCATGATCATTAATGGATCACCAAAATACATCAGCTTGAAAGGCATATTTAAGACTACCACTACAAATCAAATTTGTTGTCAATCACAGGGGCATGCTCATCAAATACATGCATTTATGACAGCAATCAGGAGCTAGTAACCCCACTTCAACACTCAGCAAGTGATTCAAAGTTTTCTCTATCTCTAAAAGAGCAAGAAAAATGTCTTCAGTGTTTTTTTTAAAACCAGAGAAATACAGCCCTTTTAATATTAAATGTTATAATAAATGCTTCCAGGGGCAAGTATCAAAATAGTACATTTGAAATAAATTCTTCAAACAGTAAAAACTCACACATCAATTCATAATTATCCCGGTAATGTTCTACACAATACTGGTCTGCCAAACTTTTGAGGTAGGCCTGTTCTTTCTCCCATGTCGAATTCTCAATAGCTGCTTCTTGGATAGGTTCTGTTGCAAAGTTCATAAGGTCACTTGCTGTATCCATTAGGACTTCATCTGTAGATTCTGAATCACACTCATTTTTTTCTTGAAGACAAGCCCGTTGTAGTTCTAATGGGTTTTTATTCTGAAAGATAAAACATAATAATTCACCTTCCAGAACCTAATTTTTGTCAACTATATATCAACGCCCAGATATTTAACTAAGAAAATTCAATATTACAAACCGCATGCATAAAATCTATTACTGATTAAAAATATACTGGCATTGATTTGGAAATCCTTTCAATTAAGATTTTGTGCTTGCTGAGATAGCAATTTGGAATAAAAAAATTCAAGTATAATGACAAATCATAAAGAGCCATAAATGTATAAAAAGGATACAATGTGTAGCGGTTACATTTTGAAGCTAGCAATCCAGGGAATGGACCGATTATTTGGATTATACAAGTCCAAATTCTCCCACAGCAATCTGTTCTTAGGTCACCGGTCTGCTACCAAATAATTTTAAGGAGGCTGGGTGCCTGCATTTGAACTTAGCTTTTATTTTTTCCTAATCACCTGCAGCCGGGTTTCTGGGTCTTGGGTAATCTGGATAGATAAAAGGAGGCACAAAGGACTGGACCTGTCAAATATCTTTAATCGTTCTGCTTTTGTGCCAGGGAGAGGCAGTTCCTGGTCCACTGACCTAACATCCATCCCATCCTGAGCACCAAAGCACAAAGATTTTGCTCGCTCCTTGACTGCTATCTCAGCCAGCCTATTAATCTCACTAACTGCTGGCTGGGAAACCAGATGGAAGGAAACTTGCAACATGTGACAAGACCACGGGGAAAACTTTCCAGTGTGGTCTCCCAGCTGCCCCACAACTCTTTTCCCGCCCTGGAAATTTTACTGGCCTATTATTTCACTTCATCAGAAAGTGCATTAGGGTCAAGTATTCTCTGCAATAACCGGCTACAAAAGTATCAACTGAATTCAATATCAACAACAAAATACCTCATCTTGAGTGCACATGGTCTGAAGAGGCTGGAGAGATGCTGTGTTTTCTGAACTATCATTTATGATATTTTCACAGTTACCTGCAAATGATAATTAAGGGACAATTATACAAACATATTTTAGTAACTTCACAGTAATATTGAAACTCTAAATCATTTGCATGGTACCTATAAAGCAACTTGCGATTTATATGCTAATCAATATAAGTTTTTCCAAGATATGAATAGTTACACTAGCTGTAACATGTATAGGTTTTTTGTTTATTTTTACTTTATAGGTAATAGAGAAGAAAATTTCAGTTGTTATGAAAATGTTTGTATTGTTGGAGCAGTGAAACCCAGCAATGCTCTTGCATTTCCTACCTTGTGATTCATTTCTTTCATCATTTTCATTTTCATTCAGCTCTAGTTCAGGACTGGGAAGAGCTGTGCTCAGGTTAGATTTGACAGTGTTTTCGACATTTTCTTCAGGGCTGGTAGTGTGTATAACATTTGCATTTTGTTCTTCATTAGATTTATTTGACACCATTCTTTCTACTTCAATGTTTTTGTTATACAATATGTCTTGCATTGTAGAGCCAGTTGAAGGACCAACACAAGCTTTTTGCCTTGGGATCAAATTTGCTTCCACGTCTGGTGACCATTCTCCTATCCTGATATTGGAGTACGAAGGATGCCGAAAAGAAGCCCAACCAAATACAGGAGTTTCTACATTAGATGCAGGTTGTCCAATGTTAGTCAGAGGTTGTGATGATTCACTGTAAGTATTCCATTGTGCTCCAGATGGTGCAATATCAGACACATTGCTACCAAGCTGAATGTTGCTTTGTGACACATGGCCATGGATGTTCCATCGAGCTCGATATGGTCCTACATTAGAAACATACTCACCAACTTGCATGTTGGCTTGTGATGCATGCCCATGAATATTTGCTTGTGGCCAAGACTGCTCAATATTTGAAACATGCTCACCAACTTGTATACTGCTTTTTGATACATGCCCATGAATATTCCATCGTGGTCTAGATGGTTCAACATTAGACATATGATCACCAACCTTAATGTTAGATTCTGAAACATGCCCATGAACATTCCATCGTGGCCTGATAGGTTCAACACTGGTTACGTATTCACTTGCATTTAGGTCTGAATGAGGTATGGAACCATGAACATTGGTATGTGGGTCTGAAGGCTTGTGATCTGTTGCAGACCCTGCAGCTCTGACGTGTGAATCTGAATGATGTCCATGAACTTTCCATTGGGGCATCCCCGAATCCACCTCTGAAGGTTTTCTGCCCTGTAACATTTTATGAGAACCTCCAGAAGCTGTTAAAGCAATACTGAAATCATATTTATCTTGGTCAATTGCAATGTCTTTTCTCTCATCTGACAGTTCTGAACCTATTTCCTTCAGAGCCACATCAAGTATTGTGGCTTGTTTAACTGTTTCAAGGGCAGTTCCAGGTTGCTGTTGCTCACTTGGAAGAAAATCCTCAAAACTTATATCAAGTAAGCATACTTCTTTCTGATTTGAATTACGACAAACGGGCTGATCTTGTGAGTCAGAGTCCAGGAAAGCTACAGGTCCAGGTTCTACCTTATAAAGGTGAGCCCTTGATTGTTGAGGCCCTTCTTGGAAGGGAAGTAAATCAGTCCGTGCAGTTACAGTTGAGGCTGCTTCATTCACTGGAGCATAAAGATCTTCCTTCTTGTTGAGTATTTTGTTTTCATTTGATGTGGCCTAAAACGAAGAAAGTTAGATAACAGCATTTAATACATTGCAAAATAATTATTCAACATGGGTCCAAAATTCCTATCCTCACTAATTTTGGCAAAAAGTCAAAAATAAAAATGATCAAAACTATTTGCTAAAAATAAGGGACAAGTTTTGTTCCCATAGTTCATTACATTTCAAGAATTATCAGCTTTTTGTGTGTTGGAAAAATAGAAAAAGCAAACATCTGGAGATGAAATGCCTGTAGTACTGCACCTCAAAGCTCAACTCTTGAGAATCAAAGCTTATATTCAATGGTTCATGATGCTGCAGGTCCAATCCAGGAATTACATCCGATTTCCCCCTCTGTTCTCTCAATGGTAACTTCTCTAGCAATGCCTGAGACATTAAAAAAGTTAATCTAAGGACAAGCAATAAGTTGACAATTTTTTTTAAAAAATCATAATACAAGTCATACAATTTGATCATACAATCAAGTACTTGCCCAACTACCTGAAGCTTTTTTTGATCATTACGGAAAAAGTCAGTACGTGCAGTTTCTAACTTATGCCTTTGAATTTTCCACAAGGCTCTCTGTTCTCGTTTTGCTGCTTCCTCTGATAAGTTGCTGTAATGTTCAATTAACTGTTGCCTGAAATTTAATAGAATAAATTTAAATTTTCTCTTAATACTGCAAAGATCCCCAAGTGTGAATCTCCTTAAATTAAGAATAGACCCAAGTATATAGAAAAATATTGGAGTTTTGATGAAAAGCCATCAACCTGACATGTTAACTGCTTGTTATTCTCCATCAGTGCTGCCTGACCAGTACTATCAATATCTCTTTTTTATTTCAGTCTTGAAATAAACAAACATTGGATTTGATGTTTACTACCATGTTAAAATCTTCAGAAAATTAAAACTTGGCTGAATGGTATAAACTACAGGTATCTGTTAGAGGGCCAATATCAGGTAACCTAGCAGAATCTTTTCTTTAAGGGAACTAAAAATGGACAGAGTTGAGGCACAGATCAGCCATGAACTAAATGAATGGTTGAACAGGTTCAAGAAGCTGAATAATCTACTCATGGTCCTATGGGAGCTGGGACAACTACCATTCTGATTCTGAAACTTTGAATTTGTAACATATTCAGAACAAAAGATAGGAGGAATTAGAAAAAGCAATTCAAAATGTACAGAATAGGTTGAACGTGTCAATTACTATAACTGTAGTGCAGACTAGTGTAAATTACAAAAGGTTGCAACAGAAAAGAGATGACATATATATTCCATTAACGGTTTCCAAATAGTTTAACCCAGAGCCAAAACAGGTCTTAGCTGACCCAATTCCCAAGAAGTATTGAGTTACAATCAACACTTGTATTACAGTACTGAACCACTAAGTCAAAGCAAGTAAAAAGAAACTGTGACATATTAGATTTTTAAGTATTGTGTTCAGGTTTAAATGGATAGTTTAACAACAGAATTACTAACCCAATTAGTACAATCCACTGACTACAGAGAAAATCTATGAAGTAAACAGAATTGTGAAATCCTATTTGAGTTGGAATATCATCGCAAAACAAATTACACAGTGAAATTGCATCGTAAGTGGATAAAAACAATATAATTTGAAATTAATTTTCTCTTTCTCTCTCCCATCTTCAAATAGTTACAGTGTATGTATTTTCAAAAAAGTAATTACCTTGCCCTTCTCTCCAATTCTTCCTCTTTTATTTCCCGGTCTCTAATAGCCTGTATCTGCATCAAGTCTTTTTCCATCTCTTGACATTTTGCTGCGTTTCGACGCTAAGCAAAATAAAATTTAAACTATTTAGATGGTTTCAATTTAGGCAATGTTTTTACAGTAACACAAACACTAAATTTTCAAGGGATAACAAGGTGTAGAGCTGGATGAACACAGCAGGCCAAGCAGCATCAGAGGAGCAGTAAGGCTGACGTTTCGGGCCTAGACCCTTCTTCAGAAGCCTTTCTGCTCCTCTGATGCTGCTTAGCCTGCTGGTTCATCCAGCTCTACACCTTGTTATCTCAGATTCTCCAGCATCTGCAGTTCCTACTATCACTAAATTTTCAAAACGGGTTATAACTATTGTTGTACAAAATACGAGTCAATAGGTGACATTCTGCTATATTCACTTTACAGGCAACTGTGTTCTGTTCAGAATTGTATAATCGAACTAATGCCCGAAGATCAACCAATGTTTTTCACTATCTTTCACCTGATAATCAGTTTTACTTGAAGTTGCCTATTCCGAACAGCAACACAGTTGTTTTAAAACACAGCTAATCGCGATAGTGAAGATTTTCTTCTGGACTGACATTATTTGTAAGTACAGTAAACCTCTCAGATAATTTATAAAAAAACAAATTCTATTTCCTATTTTTTAAAGGCACTTGAATCTATTACAATAGAAAATGAGCACCTCTACATCCTTCTCAAATTGTTCTTTTAGCTCCATGAATTGCTCTCGCTTCTTTACATCAGAAGCCTTCCTTTCTGCTATCTGAATAGCTACAGATCAAAAATACAAAAATAGAAAAATCAGTGTACCATTTAAGTGTCTACGATTGAATGCTTTGGAGTTATGATAAGACCAGCAGTTCTACAGTGCACTCAAGGATTTATAGTGTTTTTAAAAGACAATAAACATCATCACAGTTTTATTTCCGATTGATCACAATCTACAATAAATTATACCTGTTTAGAATCATTTAAGTGCTTAGTGGCAGAAATTATTAGGTTCCAATTAGGTTCAATATTCAGCCTGTTACAGAGTATTGCAGCCAATACAATTCTTTTGCAGATGAACAATATTTTTGTTCACTGAACAAAATATTTCGATATTCAGACTTTTAACTGATAACCAGATACCCACATAAC